AAAAAAGCCAATGATTTAAGTCTTTTTAAAACTTTTTTAAGATTTATTTATTTATACAAGCAATGGGGTACAGGCCAGAGGCGCGGAAGGGTGAGAGAATCCACCAGAGACAGGTGGGGAGCAGAACAGGCAGAAAGACTGAAATACACTGCTGAGGGGAGCAGCAGGCAAGACAAGAGAGTTCTGCTGCGCCATGTGGGAATCTCCCTGGCTGGCTGGGAATTGAACTGGTGACGCGGAGGTTGCCGACAGCTTCACAGAGCTGCGCTCAACACGCTGTGCCACCGGTGAGGCCCCTGATTTAAGTCTTTTTGAGCCACACAGCATCATTCATTTCCCTTTTCTAAGAGTGCAATGATTTTCTTTACTTCTCCCACTGTGCACAATCTTGGTGGGATGTTAAATCCTGAAGCCCACCCTCCACTACAACAGCTGAAAAGCCTCTGAAGGCTGCTTCTGCCAGACCCTTCCTTCCGTCAAGGGGTAGTGCAAGACCTTGAGCCTGGTGAACAGGCACTCTCCTGAGAATGAATCTTGAGCGGAACACTCTAGGGGCAGAAGAAACAGAGACTCCCCTGATCCCTGTGGTGGTGTCCAACAGACACTTTCCAGTGACTGCTTTGGAAATCTTTTTGGAATAGACTGGTTACTTCCTAATCCAAGTCTTTGGCTGCCCCAGAGATCCTAGGAGCTCCCCAAAACCCTACCAATAAACTTCCTTTTTGTTAAATCACCCAAAGTCTGTTTTTCCAGCTTGTAACCACAGAATCCTAACTAACACACATGGGGAAATGCTTTATATTCTTAAACCAAAAAACCCAGGGTATGAAACTCTGCTATCAATTACATAAACGCAAACACCTATTTGTAAATGTTTCTTTGTATATAAACACAGAAAGAACAGAAAGATATAAGCCCATTTTGACAAAAACTTGCTGATAATTTTAACTCTATCTTCTGAAAAATTTAACCCAATCTTCTTTGCATAGTATGAAATCTCTAATTTCATATACTCTACCCATTCACCTTCTGTCTTTTAACCCAGCTATCTTGGAACTAACCCAAAGTTACCCAAATGCTAACCACACATTAGAGGCTTTGTTTTTTGTTTGTTTTTTTTTTTTTTTAAAAAGATTTATTTATGCATACAAGAACTGGAGTACAGACCAAAAGTGTGGGGGTGGGGGTGGGGGAGGGGTGAGCGGATTCACCAGAGACAGAGTAGGGAGCAGAACAGGCGGACTGACTGAAATACACTGCTGAGGGGAGCAGTGGATGAGACAGGAGAAGGCTGCTGCACCATGTGGGTCACCTCCCTGGCTGGGGATTGAACTGTGCTGCAGTAGCTGCGGATTGCTTCATAATGCTGATGTTTAAACCCTTGCGCCATCAGGGAGGCCCCCTCGTTAGAGACTTTGAATATGCTTTTTGTTCTGTCTAACCTGCTGCCCGCCGGTATCACTTTGCCTACCAGACTCCTATTCTTCCTTCAAGACCTGGTCTAAACATGTCACCCTCGGGAGCTTCCCATCACCTTCACAGGTACAGCTCACTTCTCCCCTGTGGCACCAGGGGCCTTGTCCATATCTTCACTGTATATGAAGGAGGAGGACAGGGGTCTTTCACTGACCTTTATATTCAAAAGGCTGTGAACAGTGAATGAATACATTCTTCCTCTTGGTTTCTACTGCTAAGAGGCAGGTGTCCATATAGCAAAGTGTGGTGTTAAGTGTACGCATTAGAGCTCACACAGTGGTGCATAATTTTTTTCTAATACCAGATGGAGAAAAATGTCCTGAACAAGCTCTTTTTTTTTAAACATTTTAAAAGGACAGGTTTATTAGGAAAAGGAGAAAGAAAAAGAGAGGCACCTGCACAGTCACAGGTGGGAAGGAGAGCTGCTGAATAAGCTTTCCTAGACAGCTCTGAGGACAGGTGTGCCTGGCGGGGCTGAGTCACAGAAGAGAAAAGTGGGGGTGAGGTGTGGCAGGAGAAATGAGAAGAACTTTTTCCTATTTCTGTATGATTTGAAAATGTTTAGTCACTATTCAATATATTCTTCTAAAACAAAGTATGCAATTAATTACACACACACACACACACACACACACACACACACACACACAAACTCTAAGTAAACAATAGGGGGGGGGGAAGTCCCCTGAAAGTTACTAATTATTAGCCTTAAAATTCCAAAGACAGCTTCAGTGTCTAAACTCCTCCAGGCAATTCCAACAATAGCACTTTTGAAGTTCTAGACTAATAAAATCCCTTTTAATTGAAAATGTACATTTATACAAATAAAATCTCCCTTTCATAGCTAATCTAGTGAGAATCAGGAATATAAACTTTTAAATCTAATTATACTTGAAATTTTGAGTTACATATGTGGCATTAATTTTATCTTATATAATTAGTGTGACTTATAGTCATCAACTGACTTATAGTCATCAACTTATAGTCATCAACTCTCATTCTTATGAGAAAGCACAATTCTGATTCTGAAATACTTGAGATTATCCCAAGGGTGCCATAAAACTCTCAAAATCACTAATTTGTTTATTTTAATCTTTAAAATGTGCATGTGTGGATAACACCACACTTAATGTGAGAACACAGAACTTGAAGGAAGTGAATAAGCAAACATGAAAAATCAACTCAAAAAGGTTGTAAGTCAACATCTTAAACAATGATCCAACAAACCTTTGGGGAGAAGCAGGCACATGAACCCTTGGCACATACCACGGTCACAAACAGCTAGTGAGGGGACACAGACAGTAGTCATCGCCCTTCTCTGGCTCAAGTCTGCACTCAAGGGCTCTTAATCACTATGCTAAACTGAATCTCCGAAGCTTTGGTTGAAAATCATGCTCACAACATATAATTAAAAACAAGTAATTGCCACAATACTGTAGCATTAAAAGTAATGCCATTTTTTTCTCATTAACTCTAGTGATATTTTCTGCTCAGACTTTTTTCTCCTTTGGTGCAACCAGAAGACAGTTAGGCCCACATCTACAGTTTAATCTTAACACAGGGACTTTGCAAAATGTGTGAGAACTGCTCTTTAGCATGATCCTTCAAAACAACAAAACCAATGCAACTTCTCATTCAGATATGTACTACAGACAGTTTGCCCTGAGGGAAAGCAACAGGAGAAAAAAATTCTTACAAAAATATATCAGGTAATCTAACAAGGCTTGGGGGGGGGGGCGGGAAACTCACAGCAAATTCAGAATGTATAATTTCAAGCAAAATTTTAACAATAGAAAAATAGGTGCTGAGAGAAAAATATAGAAATGTCTTCCTAGTTTAAACAGTTATGACCTCAAGCCCCAGTCATACTCTACAGCAGAGTTCAGAATACAATGGCCTGAGGTCAAGTCCAATTCACCCACAAGTTTTGTAAGCAGGATTTGTTTGAACACAGTTCCACCCATTAAGGAACTGTCAATGGCTGCTGTCACACCAGGGCAGTGCTGAGTGGCTGTGACAGACATACACAGAGTAGGTTTATTTACCACATGCTGCCTTATAGAAAAACTTTGCTTACCCTGACTGTACTTCTTTTTCAGCACTTAACACTACCTAAAATTATTATTTTTTTGTTTACTCATAGTCTGACTCCCTCACTGGAATACAAACTTCATGAAGAAAAAGACCTTTTTCTCCACTAGATTTCTAACTCACAGAACAGGGCACGGCTCACAGAAAATACTCAATAGTGGTGTGGTGTGTGGCATTTATTGTGAGAAAGAAAGGAGAACAAACTTTTTTCTTCTTCCCATTGTCTTTTAGATGCACTCAAACTATTCACCTCACATTCCACGTCTCAACTAGCCACTGGAGTTACCCATGCGGATAAACATGTTGCTAAGTTTAAAAGTCAATCCTCTGCAGCCTCTGACCCAGCAGGTCTAGACCCTTCTCCATGTGATTTCCAGAACACCACATTTTCTTAGTTTCCTCTCACCCTACTGGCCCTTGCGGACTCCTCAGCTGGCGTATCTCATTTCCTCAACCTCTTAATGTGATGTGCTCGAAGCTCAGTCACTGAGACTTTTCTCAGTCCACACTCACTTCCTTGGTGAACTCTCCAGTCTCATAACTGCTCTTCAGTATTTAAAAATGAATGCATTCCAAACCAAAACCAAACTCTTCATCTTTTCCCCAAAACCTTTTCCTTCATAGTTTTCACCACCTCAGTAAATAGGAACATCAACCTTCCAATTGCTCACGCCCAAAACTCTTGGAGTCAACCAACCCCGGGTGTAACGGGGTTACACCGTTATCAGCCTGCTATCAAACCCTGGTGTTTGTGACTTACAAATACATTCCAAATTAACGATCACGTCTCACCACCTCCCTTGCCACCAGCCTGGTTGGAGCCACTGACACCTCTTGACTGAAATGGTGTAAACCCCCCTTCCTTGCTTCCACCCTGGCTCCCCGTTAGTCCACTCTCAATAGAGCGGAGTGACTAGGCTGAAAACGCTAACCTGCAACTTGTTGCTGGCTCAAAACCTCAGCAACTCGCTCTTTCCCACTGAGAGTCAGTCTCATGCAAGTTGGCCCTCCAGAACCTATTTGGCTCTTTGCCCCACGCCCCCACTCCACCCCAACCCCCCCGACACACGGGCCTCAGGCACACCCGCGGGCGCGTCAGGCAAGTTTCCAGCCGCCTCTCCACAGGGAGGAAAGGCCCTTCTGCTTTGAGAGCCAAGCCCGCTGGGTCAGGCAGGCACCTCCGGGAAGGTCGGGGTCACCGCGTCTCACAATAACCCCGCGAGGTCGGCGTCCACCTCCCCTCCCCTCACAGACTCGGAAAGCGGGATTTAGGGGCCGCCTATCTACCGACCAACGACGGCGGCTGAGCTCAACCCCCGCGCGTCTCCCGGCACGACGGCCCTCGGTGGAATCTTGAGGGGCCAAGAGCGGGGGGCTCAGGGCGAGTCCCCTGGAGTCACAGCGACTTCAACCGCCGCCGGAGCCAGCCCCGGGGCCCGCGGGCGGCCGGCGGAGGAGACGCGGCACAGGAGCCGCCCGAGCCGAGCGTGGAGAGTTTCAGGAAAACGGGACGGGGCCGTGGAGAAGCCCAAGAGCCGGACGGGCATCTGGTAAAGAGGAAAACGCCCGCGCTCGGGCGGAGCCCCGGCCGGAGCCCCCGCGGCCGCGGCGCCCGCCTCAGCCAGGCGGCCTCCCCGCCGGGAGCCCGGCCGCACCTCGCGGGGGGCGGAGGGGCGGCCGCCTCCTCGCCGGCGGGGGGGGACGCGGGGACCCCACCCCGGCGCCCCGAGGCCCGAGCGGGGCCGGCGCGCGTCGACCCTCCGCGGTCCCCCCGCGACGCCCCGCGCCCGTCCCGCCCCGCCCCGTCCCGGGGCCGCTCGCGGGAGCCCCCCGGGCCGGGGCTGAGCCCTCCTCACCACGGCCCCGGCCACGGCGTGGACCAGGCTCTCGTAGGACAGCACGGCCGACATCGGCGCGGCCGGCGCTCTCCCCGCGCGCTCCCCGCGGACTCCCGGACGCGCCGCCCCGCCCCGCCCCCCGGGCCACTTCCGGGCGCGGGGCCGCTTCCGGCGCGGGGGGCGGGTCCGGGGGCGGGCGCGGGGGGCGCCGCTCCCGGCTTCGGGGAGCCCGGCCGTCGTGCTCCTCCGCCCGCCCCGCCGCGGCTCGGGCGGCTCCGTGGGCTCCTCCCTCCCGCCGCGAGACGCGCCGGCGCCGAGCCCGGGGGCGGACTCCGCCCTGGCCCCTCCCCCAGCCGGCGCGCGCGGGCCGCGGGGAACGCGCGGGCTCGCCCCCGGCCTGCAGCCGAGCTCCGGGCGCCCACAGCGCGGAGACGCGGTGACTGGCGGGGCTGGCCCCGGGGAGGGCGCTGGTTTCCTCCTGTCTGAAGTGCTAATACTGAAGCCCACGTCTGCGAGGCGTGGAAGTTAACGCAGGCGTCCTTTACAGAACACGGAGGAGCAACCCCGTGTTGCAGAGTGAATAACCAGACCACTTAGAAACCGTCTTCAGCCGCTCATCTAGACGACAGGGACACGTTTTCGAACTTCACTTCTTCACTGGGGCACGTTGTCACCCGTCTGGGTTTCAGCACCGTCAAGCTTGCCCTGACAGTCCCCTGGCTAATTCCTGAGCGCTCCATGCACATCATCACGCTCCGGAGGCGAGGCAGCTGACCACGTTCACCTCAGGTTTTCACAAAACTTAGAGGTATTTTAATCGCCACTAGTTAAGATCTTTTTCCACTGAAATTCCCCTTCTCTTAGGATGGGGCAACACTGACAGGCTAAGTGAAAGGGGAGGTGGATACACTTTGGGTTTAGTGGTATCCACTCTTACGAATGGTTTACTACTGCACGCCCTGTTGAATGACTTGTGGAAATACTCCCACCACGTCCCACGTCCGAAGGACATGGCATCAAGACACAGGTCCAACAGTAGAAAAAGACAGGATTGTGGCACTACAACTGAGAAGCTGGCCCGTTGTAAAATTTTAGCAGACTTGTTCTCACCGATTCCTCATCAAATCGGGGACTTTCGCCTAGGAAACAAATGTGGCATGCACATTTACAAACACATACTTTCCCTTTAAGGTGGCAATAGAACACAGAACTTACCACAAATTCTATTCGTAGGGCACAAGCCTAGAACATACTGTGTCCATCGATGTGAATACTTTTGCATTCCAGCTGTCAAAAAATACCCTGGAGATGAAATTTTCTATTCTATGGAAAACACTACAAAGTTATCACATAATCAGAATATGCAGTGGAAAATATGGCAATTACATAGGTACATCACTTATTAAATATAACTGTAATAACGTTCAAGATATTCCCAATTTTTAAAATCAAGTTTTTACTTCCTTTCATTATCTCCCTTAATATGTAAACATCAAGTACCACACTACATAAACAGCATTAAAATTCTGCCATATATAAACAATAAAAAATTTGCTTAATCAGTACAAAATGGGTTAAAGTTACTGAGCCAGATGAATGTTAATTCTATACTGTCTTACTTATGGTTCAGGGTACTTACACTGCAACCCAGAAATGTCCTGGTCTTCTGGGTGAGTGAACTACTTAAGGACATCCTAATTATAAACCAGAAACCTAGATTTTGAGAGCACCAAACGAGTTTATACTGGTTCTGCTCACCTCCTTACTGCTATGACTGCCTAATACTTAGAATCTGTAATTTTAGTTAGGATTGTACCTAAAAATTTCAAAATCTTATAGAATCATAGATTTATATTCTCTCTGGCACTTTACAAAAGGTCTGAATACCAATTATTTCAAACATTTGCCAACTCGACATGCCATACTTACATTTGCCTTTTGAACAGCTGTTAATTTTTTAATGTATTTTTTACATCAGTTTTCATTTTTGCACAATGTATGCGTTTTCGTCATGGTTATAGTCCCCATACAATTCCCACCCCCCTTGTTTTCATCCTACTCCCTCCTTCCCACCCGCCCCCCATTGTATCTCTGGTTTATAGTTGCTTGTTGATTTTGATTTTTACTTTATTAGTCCTGGTCCCTTATTTAGGTTTTCTAAATTCCTGCTATGAGTGAGACCATCTGGTATTTTTTTTTTTTTTCTTTTTCTTTCTGGCTTATTTCACTGAGCATAATACCTTCCAGTTCCATCCATGTTGCTGCAAATTGCATGAGTTTATGTTAATTATATTTCTTAACTATTGAGTCTTTTCCTCCCCAAACAACATGCACTCAGTTATTATGTACACTACAGTGGTTGTAAATATTGGTGGATACTGGACTTATTGCTGCACCATAATTTTGTAAACTAGTTTTTCCCTCTCCCCTACTTTGGGTCTATCACAAATACACTAAGCACTTCAATTAATGCTTCATCCCTTACTACAAGGAGAAAACCTTGTTGGCTGTGCACATTAGCACACCTAGTGATGTGTGATATTCCTTTTCCAGCCAATCCTCTTTAAATATAGTTTTCAATTTCTTGAAGTACTGGATAATTCTGCATAAAGCATCCTGGTACACTGAAAGGGGCAGCCAAGCATAGGAAGACCTACCTTTGAAACTACAAGCCTGGTAAGAATCCCAGCTGCACAAATTGTCAGCTCTATTACCCTTGGCAATTCACAAGTGCCTCAGTTTCCTCATCTATACAACAGGAGGATAACGTACTTAACCAGAACTGAGTCAACACTTGCAAACTAAGTTAAAGGATAAAGTACTACTTACCTTATGTATCTACTTAGGTGCATTCATTTTAGATCTTAGCATATATCTAAAGTAGAAGTTGTTTCCCCTTTACCTGTTAGGTCAGTACTTGCTAATGTAAGCAACTGCTAGCTGATACCCCAGGCCTTCTCTCCTTTTCTTCTGTAATTTTGTTGTTGGGAACGTGACCACAGCTTTGTCCTATTACTTTCTAGTTTTCCTTGCAGTTACGTATGATCTCAAGAAAAAAAAAGGAAAATGCTGACCAATGGTATGAGCAGAGGCAATAAAATGTTAATCCCATGTATTAGCCTCAGTATTTCAGCATCCCTGGCATCCTCTCCCATTTCCTCAGGCTAGAAGATAGCACCAGCACAAACACTTTTGGGACCTAGAATTGTTTTTTTTTTTTTCCTTTCGTGGGACCCTCGCTGGTGGCCGGGGAACGAACTGGCGCTGCAGAGGCTGCGGGCAGCCTCACAGCCCAGCGCTCAACCGCTGCGCCACCAGGGAAGGCCCCTGGACCTAGAATTGTAAGCTTTACCTTATGAATATGGCAAACATGATGACTTCTATACTGCTACCTAAAAGAGAAGTTCTGTGTTACTCAGGCTAATGTACTTTTTAGGGGTCCTTGTTAACAGTGCTTTAGAATCTGAAGTCTTTTTATGCCCAGTAATGACTTTAGTGCTAGAGACACGAAAGAACTAGAACGCAAGCTGAAAAAGGGGGTTGTGGTAGGAGGGAGCCAACATCCAGTTTGAAACCATACTTTATTTTTAACATAGCTAGAAATATCCAATAACTATATATTTTTAAGCAGGAAAAAAACCTTTACTCGTCCTTCTTTATAGCATCATTAGCACAAGAACAGAACATATTTAGTTTAGAAATGATATTGAGGGCGTCACTGAATTTGTATGAAAATGAAGAATATACTTTGTATTTATAGATCTGGACACATTTTCAGAAGACCAATTTTACTTTTACCCATATATGGTTAATATTTGCAATTTTATGATATATAATTAAGTAAATGAAATAAGGAACCCAGAAGTAACTGATCTTCTGGAGTTAGTCACAGTACACATTGGAAATTTTGAGAAAAGAAAACAGATTAACAAAAAGAACATGGGCAAGCTCAAAGGCAAGTTTATATGCTGAGTATTTTTAAAGGGTTTAGAAAAAGCATGCCTCATTAGCATACAAGTTTTGCTCACTTACATAACAGATGCACTTCTATATGCTTGTGTACAGCAAAGGGTAAGAATCTGGTGAGTCAATTAAATTATGATTTCAGGAATGTGCTATTTCAGAAATGTATTCCATGGAATTTCTTTACTGCTCCTGCCACTGATTCTTCAAATACGCAAAATACAGAGGGTCTCATCCTTTGAAATTGTTTTCAAACACAAGCAATTTAAATAGAAAGACGGGAGAAACGTAGAGAATTCTTGGCACAATGCCTGAACTTAAGCTTATTTAATGGAAGGCTTGAATGTGTAAGAAGACCTATTTTCTTTATCCTTGGAGGGGATGGAAGGAGACAAGAATTGTGGGTAGTATTTAAGAGCTGAAGAGGAAAACAATCTCTCATCATGCCAGCAACTCCACAATGAAAAACCACCGGGATGCTATCAGCAACTCACACTGGGTCAAGAGGCTAGGCTCCCCACTGTGTACATCCCTTTACTCAAACCTCACATGCCCCAACATACAAAGATGACTACTACAAGATAAACTGCAATAGCTATTTCCCAAATAAAAAAATAAAGGGAATTCTTCCTTCCAGTATCTTTTGATGTGATAAAATTATACCTAAGTGGAAATCTAAGACAATTAAATGTGAAATCTCTCACCAAATAAGAAACTATAGCTGTTATGGGGTATTGACCTTCATAGTCACTATATGTATTACACATTAAACTCAGCATTAAATATGCTTGCACAATTACACTGAGTGATGACAACAGTGATGATGCTAGTGGAAATGGACTATCTTTAGCCCAAGAACAGTAAGAGGGGAAAATATGAAAACAAATAGAAAGCAGATAAAGAGAAGGGCATTTTCCAACCAGGAAAGGTAATAAAAACAGAAATAGAAAAAGAAAAGTAGTTCCTTATTTTCCCCATGTGGAAATGATATGAAACATTTATTTCATAGATCTGACAACAGCTAAGTAATCCAACTTGACTGCAGCATTATAAAAAATAATCCCTTTAGCACAGTGTAAGATGTCAATGTATCTGCACGTGGGTAAGTATCACTTGACATGTGGTGAGAGTCCTGCTGCCCAGCCAAGAACTTCCAGTCCCCACCTAGTCCCACTAAAATACTGATGGTCCCAATAGTTTTGTCAAAATATTTTTTAAAATAAAGCATTTAAAAAGACAAATCAAAATGCCTCAGTAACCATATATCTAACTAAATAATCTATTTAAATTTTATATTAACCTCCACTTAATATATCCCTCAAACTACACAATGAATCTTTCATACTGAATTATTGTCCTTGCCCAAGTAATTAAAAAAAAAAACCCAAAATGATTAGTAAAGAAAAATGTAGGGATTAACACACCCTTTTAATTTGTTTTAAATATTTTTAAGGTTTAAAAAGTATTTAAAGTTTGTAATTCCTAGTAGGAAAACATTATCTGAATGAATACCTAATGGCAAACCATTGTAAAATGTTTCAGCTGCATTTGGGGTGCAGGGGTAGGGATTATCTTCAAAGCACCCCAGCTTTCTTCAGGAGGTCAGAGGTACACTGGTTTGTATTATTGCGACATCCATTAGGTGATCTAAGTTGCTTTTCCTTCAGCAAGGGTTTCATCTGTCAGGGCATTACGCTTGACCTCCAAATTTGGCTGACAATTTACTGATGAGATTCATAACCTTCGGGTTACTCTGGTATTTTGACATATTTGCTGGATTCTGGGCCACATCCTGGAAGGCCACCATAACTTCTGGATCCTGCAAAAAAAAAGGTGCTTGTTTAAAAAAAAAAAAAAAAAAAATTCTTTTACTTATTTATTGTTTTTAAAAATTATTTTAAAACTAGGTTTTCTATTAGGTCATCAAATTTATTATCCTAAAGCCTACCTCTTTCATGCAGACCTAACTTCTATCTCTTTATTTTGTCTTTGCCAAGTTAACTGGGGCGTGGACAAGCCCCTCAATTATAAATATTAATGTGTACTTCAAAGTCAAAGTCAGTTATGTACTTGAACTAGATAATGGGAAAAAGTATATAGAATTTTAATATCAATATAAAGAAAAAGACAACGGGATAGAACCACTAATTACATACTGTTTTCCCATAAACTAATTTTTAAAAATCGAAACTACTATCCTGAAAGAAAAAAGAAAATGAAAATCACAACTGAATAATTAGCTATTTGGTAATTCAGACCAATAAAATGTGACTAACAAAGTAACCTTTGCCTCTAAACAAAATTCTGAAAGATGCCTTAGTGACATCAAGTCCAGCTTTGTTCTCCCACATCTTACCTGCATTGCTGCAAGAACCTCTGGATCACTAAGAATTTCATTGAGTCCAGGCATTCCTGCCATTCCAGGCATGCCCCCTCCCATTCCAGGCATTCCTCCAGGAAAGTTACTAGGCATTCCCCCAGGAAAACCACCTGCAAAAATAAATGCAAGAACTGTACAGACCCAATCATATTCCCAAGTTGTCTGATAATATACTATTTCCTCTGATTAATATAACAAACACTCAAACCCGTGTGCACAAAGAACAAGGGTCCCACTGAATACAAAACAGTCTGAACATTCTAAATGGAAGTAAAGACTCAACTTATAATTTTTAATTCTCTCTTGAAAAAATAATGGCTGTAAAACAGAAGTTGCAACCTTCTTAATTCATTTTTCCTAGTAAAAAACTTTCAAGCAAAGTAATCTAACCCTTAAAGCAGAAAGATAAAAAATCTCCTGGAATCACAAAATTTAAAAGTCCAATAAATCATATCTTACTTTCTTTTCTTTAATATTGTCTGTTTCGATTTAATAGTTCATGAGGTTTTTTTTAAACGATATACCTCTAGAATATCCTCGAAAACGACATAAAGGGCTTGTTACGATTTTTGAAAGTCAAACTGAAAATCTGTATTTTTAACAAACATTCTGGGTGTTTCTTCACACTGAGAACACCACCCTAGAAAAAAGGTTTTCAGTCTCCTAGTACATTTTTAGATTACAAACCCCAATTACTTTCTACTCAGTTTTCACTACCATAAACCTCAGTGTCCTTTGGAGATAGTCTTAAAATACAATTATGGTAATATAGGGACATCCTGAAGGTAAATACAGGTCAGATTAACATTTTCTGCAGATCAAGGTTCATTAAATAAACACATTCAACATCCTTTGGTTATAACATTAATGAGGGAAAAAAAAATTGACTCCAGGCAGAGGCCCCTGTCTGTGTGACCTGAACATTCTCCTCTTGTATACGTGGGTCTTCTCTGGCTTCTCCCGTTCTCCCCCCACATCCCAAACATATACAAATTAGTGTGACTGGTGTATCTATAAATTGGCCTGGTCTGAACAAGTGTGAATGTGTGCATGATCCCACCAAGGAAGGGTGTGCTATCCAGGGCTGGTTCCTGCTTTGGTCCTGAGCTGCTATGACAGGTTCCCACCACCTTGACCCTGACTGGAGTAAGTAGGGTGGACAACGAATGAATGAACGCAAATGACTGCTTCGTATTAGAAATGTTTAGGCTCTTCATAGGTTTTTTTTTTTTTTGTGATCAGAAATATACCATAAAATTTAACCCTCACTTATATCAATTAGCCTAGGGCAGAAATGGTGTTGTAATAATGTGAAGACTCACTGTGCAACAAAGCATTTTCACTTGCCTCAACACAAACATGCCCATAAATAACTAACAATCATATAAGAAGATCTAAGGGAGGCAGAAGACAACTTCTAAATTTTCTTGCTGCTCTTAAGTGACTTGAAAAACTCTTTTTCCCCATAGAAGAGTAACTGGCCTGGGGCAGTAATAGCTAGCCAGTCTGCTTATCAAGGCTAGATAATAAAATCCACATAACAAAAAAAATTATCTCTAGTACTTGCCTACATTTGTAGTCATCTGCCCAAACAAAGGCACATGACATAGATTATATTTTAAACAGAAGTAAGATAATGCACTAAAAATGTTCTTACTTTTATTTCCTATAGCAACTCATCTCCAATGTATGTTTTTTGATTTGTTTTTCAAGCCACCCCGCACATGTCCTATCAGAACTGAGCTACCTTTTCTAGTCTCTGGCCATGAAACAATTCTAACCAGTGCCATGTAAGTTTAAGTGATATGCAGCTGTCTCTATAAATTTTCCTTAAGTGAAAACTAGTTACTATTAAATAGGTGAAAGGAGCTGATTTCCTATCAGAATTACCAAGTTAAAAAAAAATTTCTTCTTGACTTTTATACAAATTTCACAATGTCTTATTAATATTCAAAAATTGTTCTGAGTGGGGCCTCCCTGGTGGCACAGAGGATAAAAATCTCAGCGCCAGCAAACTATCAAGCTATTGCCAGCCAATGCAGCATGAATTCAACCCCTGGCGAGGGAGCTGACCCACGTGGTGCGGCAGACCTCTCAGGTCTCGCCTGCTGCTCCCCTCAGCAGTGTATTTCAGTAGATCCACCTGTTCTGTTCCCCACTGTCTCTGCTGAATCCTATCACCCTCAGCCCCACACCTCTGGTCTACACCCCAGTTCTTATATACATAAATAAAAATAAATCTTTTTAAAAAATTATTCTGAGTGTCTTTTAAATTGCTCTTCTACCTATATTGCAGAAGTCTCTAGTGTGATTCAAGGTTTTGCATCACTAGTAATTTCTGATCATTTAACATTTACAAGAAAGCGTGTATATTATTTTACATTGGACCCAAAACAATTTTTGTTGTTAATAATTCCATAGTGTTTTACCAAGTTTAATCATGAATACCAATATATAGTAGGACCAAATTCTATTATAGCAATTTAGAAAAACTTACTATACTTAAAAATTTTTTGAAAGATTTATTTATCTATGCATACAAGAGCTGGGGTACAGGCCAGAGGTGAGGGTTGGGGGGTTGAGAGAATTCACCAGAGACAGAGTGGCGAGCAGAACAGGTAGCTCCACCGAAATACACTGCTGAGGGGAGCAGGGGGCAAGTCAGGAGAGGTCTGCTGCGCCATGTGGGTAGCTCCCTGGCTGGGGATCACACTCGGGCTGCAGTAGCTGCAGACAGCTTCATAGTGCTGACACTTAACAGCTTGAGCCACCATTGAGGCCCAATACTTACAAATTTTATAATACTCGCAATTCTTTATAGTTTTTTTTTCTTTAGACTTTTAAAATGAAGTACAACGACCAGGCCTCAACATTAGCTATTGTTAAAAATTACGTTGCTCAAATTGCGAGGAAAATATACTCTATTTCCAGTGACATTAAAATTTTTTTTTCAAAGATTTATTTATACAAGCACTGGGTACAGTCAGAAGTGCGGGAGGTTGAGAGAATTCATCAGAGCCAGAGCAGGGAACAAAACAGACAGACTGATGAAATACACTGCTGAGGGGAGCAGTAGGCAGCAGGAGAGGTCTGCGCGCCACAGTGACATTAAAATTTTAAGGAAAATACAGCTTACTAGAGGCTAATATTCTAAAGTGTACCATAAGCCAAAGCTACTAAATATAAAATACATTATCTCAAAGTGAAAATCAAAATCAACAAAAAACTATGAACCAGAGACACTTTATGGGGGGTGGGGGGCGGGAGGGGAGGGATTGGGGTCAGAAAGGGGGGGTTGCAATTGTATGGGGAATATAAAAATAAAATTATTAAAAAAAAAAAAAAGAAAAAGAAAAAAAAATACATTATCTCAGCCCCCAATTCAGAACATCCTCCAATTTAGAACATCCTCCAATTATTTACACCACTAACAGTTTTAACTTTTCTTTAAAAATACCTGGAAAAGAGCCATACTGAGCTCCTGACTGTCGTCTGGCTTCTTCCTCCTTTAATACAAAAAGGAAATAAATTATGTAATGGGGTAGGGGGAGTCTGCTGTCCACCCCAATCCTCCCCATACAAAATCATGACGAAATTATAAAATAAGCTAGTTAAAAGACTTATAAAACAGTCAAATTTCAAATGTTAATACTGGACTAAAGGACACATACCACCAAAATACTGCAAATGGATTCTGAATGATTATTACATTTGGCAATGATTTCAAGTAGTGTTTTACTTCTACTTAGAAGAAGTTGGAAGAAACACACCTGGAAAGAAACTACACTTCTGTTATGTCTGACTCTGCTTATGAAAATTGTACATTCTTAACTCTTTAAAACACTAATATGAAAGCACATGGTTAGAGTACTAAGACTGCCAAGACTTTTCTTCCTAGGTTCATCTTTTTCATACCTCACTACATAAGTCCAACAAACACAACTGGAGATTTAATGATTTTGCTATTTTCTTAAATGCATACAAATTTCCCTTAAACCACTTATAAAATCAAAAGGAGATATATAAGTGTAAAAATTATGTGAAGATTATAAACTAGAATCCTCAAAGTCAAGAGGATGCTTAAAAATACTAAATGACAAGAAATTAGGATGTAATTATAATATAGTTTTATGTCCTTTCATTCAACAATATTGGAAATAAGTAGGTAAAAACTAATAGCATCAATGCAAAAAGTTTATGTAGAAAAAAATCAGGAGAAATCATAACAGTGGCAACAATATTATAGATGAATTATGGATAACTTTTTGTCTTCTCAATTTTTTGACTCTGTAGCTAAGAATAAAATAAAATTAGAGTCAATCTTGCTATATAAGGCTATGAATCCACTACTGGGACCAGAAAAAATCATAAAATTTAACAAATCAGGGAAAGTACTTCAAAAAAACAATACTGCCAAGTTTTAATACCCTGACCTGGAAAAATTCCCAATTTAAAATACACAAAAAGACTGTAAATTGGCAAAATGAAAATTCACCTAAGATTATAAAGACTTAAAATCCCCACAAATTAAGAGATAATGAAGGGAAGGAAAACTCCCTTCATTATCCTGTAGAACCACAGCCAGCATGAAACAAGCCAGGAATTAGAATGATAATGTTAAAAATTGTAATCTAATAATTTCTTTCAAAGGTTTAGCTACAGAAATTTTACCCTCTGGGCTCTCTCATGTTCTTCTCGAGCCTTCTTAACCCTTTCTATTCTTTCTTTGATCTCTCGTTCTTCACGCTTTCGCTCATACTTTCTCCGATGTTCTGCAATTTTCTGGGCCTTGGAGAAAAAGAGCCACAGAAAAGTAAGTCTTCTCTAACAGTTGGTCAACACAAAGCAACAGTTTTCCTAAAGAGATACTTTTCCTTTTTGAGAGATATTTTAAGTTTTTTTTTTTAAGATTTATTCTTATTTATTTATTTATTTATACAAACACTGAGTACAGTCAGAAGCGCGGGAGGGTGAGAGAATTCACCAGAGCCAGAGTGGGGAGCAGAGCAGGCAGAAGGACCGAAGTACACTGCTGAGGGGAGCAGCGGGCGGCAGGAGAGGTCTGCGCGCCATGTGGGACCCTCCTCTGGTGGCCAGGGAGCAGCCGGGGATTGAACCGGCGCTGCAGAGGCTGCGGGCAGCTTCGCAACCCAGCGCTCAACCGCTGCGCCACCAGGGAGGTCCTATAATTGAATAGTTTTAATGACAGATTTACTGTATAGAAAAAGACCTGACATAACTCAGGATTTAACAAGACCACTGTAATTTAGGAAAGAGATTGGGATTTGATGGTAGAGAAGTGTTATATATTTCAAACAACAAGCACAAGGATGACAAACATTTCAAATTGCATGATAATTACTGCCTGCCACCTGCCATGGGACAACACATAAAGGTATCTGTCAGACTAACTACACTTAGTTTTCTCATCCATAAAGTGAGGGGGTAGAGGAGGAAAAGTATGTAGTTCTTATATGATGTAATTCTTATAAAGATTAAGAGAGAAAATATATGTACCCAGCACTACAACAGTCTGTGCCAAATATCTGGAACTTTGTATTTATTCAGAGAATATAGTAAATGTAAGAGATTTATATTCAACTATTACATTAGCTTATTTACCATTATTTTTAAGAACTTCATGTTTTAGAATATCTCACACAGAAACCTCTGACAATAAATAAATTCAGTAAAATTTCCACTAACAAAACCTTTGGGAATAAACTCCTGGTAGCGTTAACTCCCCACAAATTATTTTAACAATTTTAGTTAGAAATTTTCTTCAAACAACATTATAGCTTTTGGATTCGTATTATCGTTTTATTTTATTATTTTTTGAAAGATTTATGTTTATTTACCTATGCATACAATAACTGGGGTGTGGGCCACAAGTGCAGGAGGGTGAGAGGATTCACCAGAGACAGAGTGGTAGTAAAACAGGCAGATCTACTGAAACACACTGCTGAGGAGAGCAGTGGGTGAGACAGGAGAGGTCTGCTATGCCACTTGGGTCAGCTCCCTGGCCAGGGATCAAACTCATGTGGCGATGGTTGGCGACAGCCTGATGGTGCTGAGACTTTATCCCACCAGGGAAGTCCCCATATTATCATTTTAAAAATGTTCAAACTTGTTAACTTCCAGGGTTCTCATGCTTTTTACAGTGGCTGCATATATCTACGATACATAGCAGACCACATTCAGTCTACTCAAACTACATAAAATCTCAGATTTTAGAGATTTTTATTTCTTTTCTTGCTAGGAACTTGAGTCTCCTGTTCCATTTCTAACTTTATCATTATACTTCTACTGTAGGTTTGAAAACAAAGTAACAGAACTTGCTATAATACCACATGAAAAATGAATTCATAGAAACCTAATGAGATTTCCTGAGTTGCCCACAAACTTCAGAGATTATAGATTATATTCAAAATATCTGTTTCTTTGCTTCTGTTTTACAGGTAGATGGCTGCGAGGAGCTAATAAGTACTAGAGCAACAGCATATCACAGGAATGGCTTTCTCCTCCCCTACGGTAACATACCCTGGGTTGAACTTCTTTCAGCATTGCACTAGCATCGTCATCATAATCCAGCTTACATGCAAGGGCAAGATCATGGGCCGCTTCTTCCCAATGACCCAGGAGTCTGAAACAGATTTAAACCCATTTTAGGAGCCTTTTACATATCCACTCAGGTGGCATGCTGTCTTTCTCCCTTATACTAAAAAAGTAATTTTATGTTACAGTTAAATATTAACTTACACATTTTCATGAACTATTTCAATCACTATGTTTTTGTGTTTAAATTTGCTCTACAGTAACAATGACGCTGCTATAAAAAAAATCTTTGACAAGTAAAATTTGCTTTAATTCAGAACTTGATGAAATTTTACAAAGTCATGTAGTCATTAACTCATCACAAACATGCTTACTTAGCATGATATATAGTCAGCAAGCTACTTTCTATATAAGACAGAAAAGAAAATAATACGTGTACACATTTTATTAAACAAGGAAAAGGATAAATCAGAAACCAAACACTGGAGGGGACAGAAAGGGAGAACAGGGAAAGAGATTTCTCTGCTAACTCAGTATTAATTCTAAACATGCAAATGGTTTATATACTCAAAGAAAATTTTAAGAGACTAAAATAAGAAGCTAATTCTTTATTACAATAGTAACATAAACCATACAGAAAAAAATCCCAGTAATCTTTAAGATAGTATTTTAATAGTGTATCCTAAGCATGATACATTCTAAAAATAGCAAGAATTGAAAAGAAAACCTGTATAATTTGAAAGTGTATTATTTCAAGCATATGATTCTATAACAATTTCATATATGTCATAGAGTAACAAATATGTTACTAGCAAATACATTACTAGGGATAAAGATTTTTGACCCTAGGAAAATTTTTGACCCCAGTGATAGAAAATATCACTGAAAACTCAAAATTTCATAACTTTTCCCCTTAAAATCACTATTTTAAAAAATGTTTTTTCTAACTCGGTTCACTGAAATAACAGTAGTAATATCTAAGAAGTAATGAACACACCTAGCAGTCAAACCTTAGTTTTGAGAAATACATTCACCACTAGAATTAATCATGCTTTCTTGGAGAAGTGGTTTGGAGCAATCGAAATACAAGGTAAGGGCCTCCCCGGTGGCGCAGCGGTTGAGCGCTGGGTTACGAAGCTGCACTCAGCCTCTGCAGCGCCGGTTCGATCCCCGGCTGCTCCCCGGCCACCAGAGGAGGGTCCCGCATGGCGCGAAGACCACTCCTGCCGCCCGCTGCTCCCCTCAGCAGTGTACTTCAGTCCTTCTGCCTGCTCTGCTCCCCGCTCTGGCTCTGGTGAATTCTCTCACCCTCCCGATCTTCTGATTGTACCCAGTGCATGTATAAACAAAACAAACAAACAAACAAACAAACAAATAAAGCATGCCTCTAAAAAAATAAAAAAAAAAAAAAAGAAAGAAAGAAATACAAGGTAAGACCCTGCCACCTTGTATAGAAGGCAAGCAATACCCAATGACCAACAGGGCCTCCAGAGGGCAGCAGCAGCGCGTGGGCTCTCCCATACCCACCAAGCACTAAAACATTTTATTCTAACATGTCACCTATCTTCAATATGTTGTTTTCAAAACAACTGAACTATTTTTTTTTTAAAGATTTATTTATTTATGCATACAAGAGCTGGGGTACAGGCCAGAGATGCGGGGGGTGAGAGGATTCACCCGAGAGAGTGGGGAACAGAAAAGGCAGACTGACTGAAATACACTGCTGAGGGGAGCAGCAGGCGAGACAGGAGAGGTCTGCTTCACCATGTGGGTTTCTCTCTGGCCGGCCAGGGATCAAACTTGTGCTACAAAGGCTGCGAACTGCTTCATAGTGCAATGCTTTTTTAGAGTCTCCTAATACAGCTGTCCCAAGCATTACCCATCTTCATCTGCACCCACACTTCAAGTATAACATCTCTCAATCCACATACATGTAAATGACATCAGACACTTCATCTCTAAGCCACAAATATTTATATGATGTGAAATTTGCTTCCAGGAATGCTAACTAATCTGCGTTAAATTCAGTTTTTTACTGTCCCCCTTTTCTGATTTTTCAGGTGACCAAGCAGTGACGGCAGAAGAAAGGGGTTAGTGTATTCCTCCTTCTATATTACACTGATTGTTTAATGTTAAGTTTACAAAAAAAAATCTGAAAATAAAATTTGTAAGGACAGAGATAAAAGACTACACTCACTTCTTAGAGGCAACTTTGAGAAAAATCCTTACCTTATATTTGACTATATGTGGTCAAAAATTATTAATGGTGATTTTCTCTGCATGGAAGTGAAAATAATTTTTCTTTTCTTTTTTTTTAAGATTTAATTTATTTATTTATACAAGCACTGAGTACAGTCAGAAGTGCGGGAGGGTGAGAGAATTCACCGGAGCCAGAGCGGGGAGCAGAGCAGGCAGAAGGACCGAAGTACACTGCTGAGGGGAGCAGCGGGCGGCAGGAGAGGTCTGCGTGCCATGTGGGACCCTCCTCCGGTGGTCAGGGAACACCGGGGATCGAACCGGCGCCGCACAGGCCACGGGCAGCTTCGCAACCCAGCGCTCAACCGCTGTGCCATCGGGGAGGCCCAATTTTTATTTTCTTATCAGTCTGTTCCTTATGGTATTTTCTCGAGTAATCATACTGAGTACATATTATTTTCAAATAAACCATAAAGCAACTTTGGTTTCTTAAGGAAACATTAAATCATCAGATTTAACTTAAGAGTTCTGAAAATAAATTCCCTTAACTACCTGTGTGCTTTTCCTCGCCATTTGTAAGGTTGAGCTGAATCAGGATTTATTTCAATAGCTCTGTCACAGTCCCTGATGGCAGCATTTGGCTTCTGTAATTTGACGAAGACACTAAAAAGTGGGATAATAAAAAGCATTCATTTCAAATACTAACACTTTTAGGACTGCCACAGAAACACCCATATTTAAGCCAATGAGCAGAAATTATTCATCAGGGGATGCTTTTTGTTTAGTGTTCTCACCTGGCTCTCTTAGCATACAGAATGGCCAAGCGAGGATTCAGCTTGATGGCGTCTGTGAACAAGTCAATGGCTTTCTGTAACTCACCTGAAGTGAAACGAGAATTACTGAGAAATATTCTGAGGATAAAAAATATTAAAACTGTTGATTCTTATTCAATTAGTCTTTTACATTCTTGTTTTAGTCTAGTTAAAAAAAAAAAAACAACCCTAATTTCTAAAATAATATACAAGATAATAAATAAGTTGAGGGAATGGCTCCATAAGATTATGGGACAAGTCAAAACCCCTCTAAGACCTGATGCTATTAATCTGCAAAATGGGATTAGTACAAGGTCTTAGTGAAATAACTGGCATTAAGACAAAACAAACAAAACTGTCATGCATCTAGAGGGCAGAAAATAAATGTCAGATAAAGAGAAATCTTGGGTGGTAGGGAAACTAAAAAAAGATGAGCATGGAAAAGGAATGGTCAGGAGGAGAAGGGTAGGAATTAAATGCTGAGCAGTGCAGAAAAGCTTTACAAAGGTCTGGCTGTAAACCTTCAGAGAGAAGAGAATAAGGATGAGAGGGCAAATACAGGATCTGACTCCAGCAGGCACAATGCTGCGAAGAGCTGAAATGTATGCAAAAGCTAATCACAGGTAACAAGCAAAGTGTATAATTATAAGGGGGCTAACCTAGGGACAGTGAACAGAAAGCCAAAAGGAAACAGACACTTCAGTCAGCAAACTATTAAGCAACTGTGCAAGTATAAACGTATGGTAAGAATGTAAGAAGGCGGTGGAATTACAAAAACAGTAGTGAATGTATTTGCGAACCTGGAACAGTAATACTCAACTCATTCAAAAATAAAAAGAAGTCATTTTCTTTGTCCACTGATGAAGTCCACAGCACTGTGCGACAATGAGCAATGGCTCGTCACACTCCCTCACAAGTATGACACAGGGATCTGCATGAAATGTTACCAGCCTATGCACATCACTTGTGAAAAGTTAAGGGCCACTGTTTTAATACATTTTTTCCGAAAGCCTTTCACTTTTTAAATCCTCTTCTCAGTGGGGAAACACCAGGATTTTTAATCAGGAAAACAGCTACGGAGTTACATCTACCCTTGCCTTGATTTCAGCCTCTATCAACAAGGAGGGAATAGGTGAATAGGATGACTTTGTTCTCCAGTATGATATACTTGATAAATTTTAAGTTCCCTCCCACTTTCCCACTATTCAGCAGTTACTGCAGTAGAGAAGAGTATTCAGACAACTGCAGAAAGCCAGCAAAGGGGGGAAAATCACTCACCATCATTTAGGGCATCAATGGCAGCCACTTTCTTCTCATTTGCCTGATCCATCATCTCCTCTGTTATCTATGGGGAAACAGAAGGTCAAGTTAGCAGAGAATGCAAAGACAAGAAGAATGCAAGCAACGTGGACTTTCTTAGCAATGGGGTAGACACAATCATTTTCATTCATTCTTCTTCAGCCTCTAAGGAGCAGGTATATGGTAACTGATTAGTAAGAAATTTACAGGATGAGTCTTGGTCTTCCATACCAAAGAGTAAATTTCATCTCCACTCTCTGCCCTAGGCATGGCCTCTGCTTCCCTCCATTCCAATGTAAGCAGACTGTTCTGCCCTTGGCTTCCCAATTCCTTTCAGTAATCCACAAACACTAAAATCCAGTCTCCTAAAAAAGAAACAACTAAAGCTTTTAGGTTTCTCTGGGGAGAAATGTTTCTCTGTTCCAACAAGCATCTTATTGAGCAGGGAAAAAAAAAAAAGAAAACACTACACAAGATGCTGGCAGTACAATGATTATTAATAAATAAAAACTCAGGGCTTCCCCTGGTGGCACAGCAGTTGAGCGCTGGGCTATGAAGCTGTCCGCAGCCTCTACAGCGCCGGTTCGATCCCCGGATGCCGGCGAGGGTCCCACATGGTGCGAAGACCTCTCCTGCTGCGCCCGCTGCTCCCCTCAGCAGTGTATTTCGTCAGTCTGCCTGTTCTGTACCCCGCTCTGGCTCTGGTGAATTCTCTCACCCTCCCGCACTTCTGACTGCACCCAGTGCTTGCATAAATAAATAAATCTTTCTTAAAATAAATAAATAAATAAAAACTCATAGCAAACATTCTACCTAAAATGTAAAGAAGCAGTTCCTTTAACAAAAGGGAAAAAGAAAACCCTCTCGGGCCTCCCCTGGCGGCGCAGTGGTTGAGCGCTGGGCTGCGAAGCTCCCTGCAGCCTCTGCAGCACCAGTTTGATCCCCGGCCACTGGCAAGGGTCCCACATGGCGCGCAGACCTCTCCTGCCACCTGCTGCTCCCCTCAGCAGTGTACTTCGGTCCTTCTGCCTGCTCTGCTCCCCGCTCTGGCTCTGGTGAATTCTCTCACCCTCCCGCACTTCTGACTGTACCCAATGCTTGTATAAATTAATACATAAATCTTTAAAACAAAAAAAAAACCCCTCTCAACACTACTGTGTAAAATACTACTGATATTACTGAAGTGATCTGAAGTTATTGGATCTACTAAGACAATAGTCTCAGATAAGAAAGCAACATAAAGAAGCTCAGAATTACTCCACATCTGCAAAAATCAATTATAAAATGTAATACAACAATATGCCATCCTAAGATGGCACACGACTTTCATGGGAGGAAAGCAAAATTCTACTAACAGACAAAAAATATATAGCATGCTCGTGGGAAAATTATTTTGAAAATTTCCAACTGCCCCCAAATTACTCAATAAATTCAAAGCAATTACAATATAAATTCTTACATGCTTTGGGTAAAGTTTTAAAAACTTATAAAACCAGGGTAATTAAGGGGAAAAAGAGATGACTGCTTTACGGTAATACGGTTCAAGTTTTAAAACCACCTTTCAAAAGCCAACGTGGAACTCAAGAATGGAGAAATCCTCCAAGAACATGATTCAGGGAAGCCCTGAAATCCAGCAGCGCTGCCCAGTGCTTTTTGTTCACACTCTGTGGCAGCTGTCAAACCTGGTGACTTTGCAATTCTGTTTTTGAAAATAGTGCCGGACACATGAAGTCACATCTAGAGCTAGGTGAAAAGAATGCAGGCTGTCTAATCAGACAAGCTCCAAAATAAATGTGAAACCCCAAATGTCTGTATCTGTAGGCATAATGGTAAACCAAAAACAAACATCCCAAAGAAAGGGACAGTCCAATTGACAAAAAACAAACAAAAGAAAAAAAAACACTGAAATGTCCAAACACTAGCCAGCCTTTCTACTGAAACCCACATTATTTACCCTGTTAATCAACAAAAAGAAATCAGGCTGAGAATTTAAAAGTGGGCCTTGAATTGGCAGCACCAACTCAGAGCCTTGATGGAGGAAGCAAACATCCCTCTCTAGAGGAATACATTGACCCATGCCTCAAAAACTTTCTACAGATATAGTTTCAAAGATGTCGTGGTCAAAATATCAACATCCATAAACAAAGTACCTACCTCAAATGAGAAAAAAATAACAGAACAGGAAGACCAAAAACGACAGCAAAGAATTCAATGTGTTTAAGAGAACAATGGCAAGTTCAGAAGATGAGTAAAGAGCAAGAGACTTAAATAACAAAATGGACATTAAAAAGAATCAATGCATAGGTATCAAAATGAAAAACATAAAGCATTCAAATTCACACATCAATGGAACAGCTGATCATATAAAGTATATATAATTCAGCAGAGTTAAAATGGATAGTGCCTTAAAAAGCCTTTAGAAAAAAGGCAGAAGGGTGTCCCTGGTGGCGCAAGGTTGACCACAGCCACTGCAGCACCCGTTCCATCCCTGGCCAGGGAGCTACCCACATGGTGCAGCAGACCTGTCTCCCTGCTGCTCCCCTCAGCAGTGTAATTCAGTCAATCAGGCTGTTCTCCTCCCCACTGTGTCTCTGGTGAATCCTCTCACTCCCAGCACCTGCACCTCTGGGCCTGTACCCCAGTTCTTGTATGCATAAATAAATAAACCTAAAAAAAAAAAAAAAGGCAGAAAACAAGCCATTGAACTTACCTCTGCATTTTCATCTCCCATTTCTTGAGGGGCATCAGTGTCTGGTTCAATCACACCTTCATTGTCAATTTCTGCCAAAGTTAAGAAAAATGATGGAAAGACCTATGCTTTCCAATATAGTAGCCAAAAGCCACCAGAGGCTATTAAAAATTAATGAACTATGAATGGTTAGTTTAGTTAGCAAACTGAATACTTTATTTTAATTTAAATATTTCATTTCATGCTAATTCTATGTAAACTTACATTGTAAAAAATTACCCACAAAATAAAACTTTATTCTCTTAGTAAATTTACATTTCAATCTAACTGTCACATCATGTATATTTATCATCACACTGTTTAAGTGTGGGAATGTTGGAGAGTACATGGTTCTAGTCAACAAAATAATTCAGTTCAAATATATTGTTTTACATATAAACAAAAAATATTTTATGCAGACAGCACAAGTAATAGTGATGCTTTTCAATTAAAAAGAATAGCATGGGTAAATTTTAATTTTAAAATAAAGATATAGAATCAAGTCCCAAAGTGCTATAAAATGGTAATGAAGAGAGTGACTGGAGAGAGGGGCATTGCACAAATTTCATGATGGAGAACTAATTTGCTAACATCCACAAAATCAAAATAACTTATCTATAAAATGTTTTTATGAACAATAGAGAGTATTAGAATATTTTTAGCAAATAATGAAACTGATAAGAAATTTTTTCTTACCAGTCAAAGTCAATGAAATTAATCTAAAATTAGCTACCTAAAATCAGAATTCATATCCATCAAGAAAATTCAAATTTTTAACAGGTACTGAATCTGTAACTTTGTCTAATTATAAAAGTTTGAGTCATGCCTCCAAAAGAAAATGCTTTTAAATGGAGAGTTGGCTTTAAAAAATTATTTTTGTTATGGAAATTGTCAGAAAATTGTAAGACAAACATTTTCAAAAAGTTAAAGATGTTCAATGAAGCCCTTTTAGCATCAAGTCCTTTCTAAAATTAAGATAACTACTGATTCAAAATTTGCTAAATTGCAAGTACCTTTTAGCTTTTAAATAAGGTTCTTTTAATTAAGAAATTACACACTTAATTGGAGTGTATACAGTTCTAATCTCAAAGAACTTCAAATATATGTACAAATTGTCAATTTTCACCCTAAAAAATTCAAAATCAAATGCATGGCATAGGTATAAACTCTAAAATGAGCCAGTTTTATCAACATGGATGCAAGTCCCAAAAGAAACTAATTTTTGGGTACTTGATTCAGTTATGGAAAACATACTTTTAAGTATGTGTAGAGCAAACTGACTACTTGTCCCACTGCTTTCAACTACAAATTTCATCAAGTCTAAATGTAGACCAACTACTCCCAACAAAAATTTAACACCTGCAGTGAAATGTGCTGTAAGTGTAAAATACACTGTGAATTTTGAAGACTTACCATGAAAAAAAAGAGAAAACAATAATTTCCAGAGATTACATGTTGAAATATTGTTCCAGATATATTAGCTTAAATAGAATATTTGAATTAATTTCACCTGTTTGTTTTTAACTTTTTAATGTGGCTACTAGGAAATGTTAAGCTTTTTTATGCAACACACATCATATTTTTATTGCATAGCACTGATTTAGTCAATTTAGTAAAAGTCAACACCAAACCATATCGAGAGGTCATTAAATAAAAATTAACTACCATCTCCTCACCTAGATCACTTTCCTCACTTGATGGCTCCTCTGTCTTTATGTTTTCCTCCGCCTTGTTACTATCTGTTTTTTCTTCCTAGCAAAAGGAAGGCAAACAAAGCTCTCATTATTAAATAACACACCCAATATATATACTAATTTATACAAATTTATGTATAAACTGTTCATTACATTATATTTCAGCTAATATTCCCTTTCTTATTTTTGTTAAACTAGGTTTAGCTCTTTGTATTTATTTCTCTTTTTTAGCTAAGTATAGGTCCAGTCCGTCATCCAAACCTTTAAGATGAGTTTTAGAATTTAAAAGTTTTTAGATTTTAGAAAGCTGACACAATATATATACCATGTTATGTGACATCATCAATAAGCATTGCAGTCCACAACTCTCCATAATCAAATAATTACTCTTTCTGCAAAATGCAGTTTGAGCATTCATAATAAATAAAGACTAAAAAGCCTAGGGTCTGGTCAGATTATGTTTTATTGCCAAACAAATTTACTAAAACTTTTTACATTTTCAAGGGTTTTTAAGTGTTAGAATTGCAGATAGGAATGATGGAAATACACAAATGATGAAAATTTAGAGAGTTTATAAATGTACATAATGAAAAGCAAATTTCCTTTCCATTCTGTAAGTAGCCTAGCGTGGTTTCTTTTATAACCCAGGCTGGCTAATCTTTGTATATAAGACAATGCTGCACTGCACCATTTACCAATGCTGTTTAGCCTGGAGACAACACTGCCATCAGCTCATTTAGATCTATTAGTTCAACTGTATTACTAGATCAGAAATTATGCAACCAGTTATTTAATTTGCTGTTTCCTAAAAATTGGAATCAAATCCCCACCTTTTACAAACCATGAGTGTGAGTCTCTACAGGTGCAAGGTCTAGATGTTTTAGCATGCTGGTGTAAGAACAGTTATTCTATGTTAAAACGTTCTAGTTACCAAGAAAAATTTAGTAGAGTTATGGTTAAATGTAATTTTGTCTTCAAGTGGCAAAGGAGCCTATCCAGAGTCCTGAAACAAACTCACTCTGACAAAAGACTCATCTGAAAAATGACTTTCAGGTTTTTAATCTCTTATTTTACTTGTTCAAAGACATAGCATCTAATTTTATATCCAAATGGATAAACCTCATTTAGGGGTTTATAATAGATAAGATAGCAAATTTTCTTATTGATTTATGACTAATAGAAAACCAAAGGAAACATCTCTTAGACAAGACACGAAGACAGAAAATGTGACAGATATAAGTTCCAAAAGGAACATTTAAGAGTACCCGCTACCCCACGATCTCTAAAGTTCAGCTATTGCTAACCTCTCCCCAGTCTTACATGCCCTTTTGGCAAATACGCTAAAGCCACACCATGAATCACATTTAGAAATAAACCTCGGGTGACAGGGCAGAAAAACTCTGAGAATTACTGATTTGGGCTATTTATTTACTTTGCAAACATTAATGGGTTACCTGCAAGGCATAAAACAGTGTGCGAGGTGATGAGCACAAATGCACACAACCACAGTGCTTACCACACACAGATCATGAATGTGACACACAAACAGCATTTATTCTATAACAGCAAACACTCAACCCCAAATCCTCGGTTTTAAATCAGATCCCAGATATTTGCTGTCTGAACAAATTTTATGAAGATCTATTCCCAAGTGATCTTGGGGAAATTAAAGTAATCTGACAGCAGCAGTTAAAAACAACACCCCTAAGAAAGCTTGTAAAACTTTATCACTAAACATGAAAGAAATTCACAACTTACCTTGATATTTTCTTCTGATTTAGTTTTATGAGTAGCAGGTGGTATTTTACCCCCCATGCTTGAAGATGAGGAAAAAAAAGATATTTGTTTAGGAAACTAAAATTCACTAAGTCAAGTCACATTTATTTATGCTGGGGAAAAGGTACACATATAGAAGATAACCTTTTCAAACTTTTAAGAATAAACTCAATTTGAATATTTCAGTATGATTAAAAAAGTTTCCAGCTTAAAATTTTATTTATTTTGGAGCATACTAATTAATGAAAATTTAACCCTTTCCTTGCCTCAATAAGCCTAATAAACATAGTTGTATAGTTTCTCTGTGCCTATTCCCAGAGGCAAAGAGTAAGAGGCAGGGAAAGTGCAATAAGAAAATCATTTGTACAAGTAGTTTAGAATTCTGTAGGTATAATCAAATCCAAAATCAGAAGCTTGACATTTAGTAAGAATAGCTCAATTAAATCAAACAGGTAGTTTAAGAAATTATAATACAATTCAAAACTTTCCTGACTGGGACCTACTGAGATCTTGCTTGCACTCACATGACCCTTACTTCGTAGATGCTCCCCTTAGACCCTCAAAACATGATCCCAGAGTACTTCCTCATAGCTTTGAAAGCCCTTCTTTTCCAAATATCCCATCATAAACCATAAATTGTATACAAGTAACTTCAAAACAAGAAGGGGTAGGGTAAGACTACAAAGAATTAAGCTATATGCTCCATGAGGGGCAGACTGTGAAAAATATGGGCTATACGTAACATTCCAGTAACTAAAAGGTACTGATACAATGGACTGAAGACACACACAATACAATAGTGAAAGCTGGAGGTCACTAAAGTTGGACTTAAATTTTCCTATTAAAAAAAGACCTTTGGGGGCCTCCCCGATGGCGCAGCGGTTGAGTGCTGGGTTGCGAAGCAGCCCGCAGCCTCTGCGGCGCCGGTTCGATCCCCGGCTGCTCCCCGGCCACCGGAGGAGGGTCCCACATGGCGCGCAGACCTCTCCTGCCGCCCGCTGCTCCCCTCAGCAGTGTCCTTCGGTCCTTCTGCCTGCTCTGCTCCCCGCTCTGGCTCTGGTGAATTCTCTCACCCTTCCGCGCTTCTGACTGTACCCAGTGCTTGTATAGATAAATAGATAAATCTTCAAAGAAAAATTAAAAAAAAATAAAAAAATAGCTATTAAAAAAAAGGCCTTTGGGCCTCCCTGATGGCATAGAGGTAAAGTCTCAGCGCTAGCAAGCTATCACCAGCCACTATAAACATGAGTTTGATACCAAGTGAGGGAGCTGACCCACATGGCGCAGCACACCTCTGCAGTCTCCCCACTACTCCCCTCAGCAGTTTATTTCAGTGGATCTACCTGTTCTGCTCCCCACTCTGTCTCTGGTGAATCCTCTCACCGTCCTCCCACCCCCGCCCATCTCTGGACTACACCTCAGTTCTTGAATGCATAAATAAAATAATAATAATAAATAAAAAGGCCTTTTAACTGTTACTTAAAGCAAAGATATATTAACTTGGAAAACAGAAAGGGACCTGTCCAAAACATCTTTAAATGTTGATTCTTTGTAGCTAGAATTAGCACATGCATATTTACATTCATTTCAGATGGGTGGGATTTCTGGAAGTAGAGTTGTATGTTGAATTTATTTATTTACTTATTTATTTTTGAGTATTAGATTTAAATGGATATTGGTTTTCAAAGTTCTTACTAATTTATACTTCCAGTTGTTGTGCACTCTGGGTCAATACTTAGCTTTTAATTTTTTTTTTTTTTAGCTTTTAAATTTTTAATGATTTTGATAGGTGTGCAGTGTTATTTCACAATAATTAAGTCCCTTTTCATATACTTATTAGCCATTTGAACAGTTAGTGTCTTTCTCTCTCTCTCTTAGTAAAATTCAGCTCTATTCCAGCCTTCTCTCAATCTATCAAATTTGTTTGCAGGTGTTCTTCCTATATTCTGCCTATGAACTCTGTTAATTTTACATGTTGCAAAAATTTTCACCCACTCTGTGGCTGGTTTTTCACTTTCAATGTTATTTTTGATTAGGACAATGAAGCAAAAGTAAAATAACAATTGTGATACGAACAAAATTTGGAATTTTTTATAAGCATCATCCAAACCAAGAAAAATGTGATAGTTACAAAAATCTTTACTCAATAACTTTAATAAGGAAAAATGGCTTCCACAGGCCAATACCTAGTTACATGATTTAAAACATCTTAATTTGCAATTTAGCATAACAAAATAGTGATAAGGAATAAGCAGACATGACAAAATTCTTTAAAATTCTCTTCTACAGAAAAAGTACTTATCAAAAGCACACAGAAATCAAACACCAATTTGCAGTTAAATATCCATGAAGACACAGGGTTTCTTAAGTTCTATTTTTCCTAAGTTTCAAAATGCTGCACCAGGGATGTATTCAGGATGACAGCAAGCACAGTCCCAACATTCTAACTTAGGTTAACTTTAGAAAGCAAGAGTCCTGCCAAGAATGTATTAAACTAGGGCCTCCCCTGGTGGCGCAGCAGTTGAGCGCTGGGCTGTGAAGCTGCCTGCAGCCTCTGCAGCGCGGGTTCGATCCCCGGCCACCAGCGAGGGTCCCACATGGCACACAGACCTCTCTTGCCGTGCCCACTGCTCAGCAGTGTATTTCGTCAGTCTGCCTGTTCTGCTCCCAGCTCTGGCTCTGGTGGATTCTCTCACACTCCCGCACTTCTGACTGTACCCAGTGCTTGTATTAAAAAAAATGTATTAAACTAAATCTAATCTTAAGGAAAGACCAGACAAACCCAAGTTGAGGTTAATTCTACAAAACTGGCCAGTAATACTCAAAACTGTCAAGTTATAAAAGCCAGTGAAAGACTAAAGAATTGGGAAAGGAGATTACGAGATATGACAATGAAATGGAACATGTAACTCTGAGGATTAGATAGTATTAAAACATCAGAGTTGCCTGTGTTTGATGGTCATGCTAAAGAGACTGTATGTGTCCACAGGAAATTCACTTAATGGTGTTGGAGCACACTACTAGAAATAATTTCAGGAAAAAAGATCTTCATACTACACTTGCAGATTTTCTGCAAGCTGGAAATTGCTTGGAGTGTGGGGGGAAACAGAAACAAAAACAGTTTAAAATGGAGGGGGGGGGACGGGGACACACGCCTCTGTGGTGGCACAGGGGTTAAGCGTTGCACTATGAAGCAATCCGAAGCCTCTGCAGCACAAGTTCGATACCCAGCCGGCCAGGGAGAAACCCACATGGTGAGGCCGACCTCTCCTGACTAGCCCACTGCTACCCTCAGCAGTATGTTTCAGTCAGTCTGCCTGTTCTGTTCCCCACTCTGTCTCCGGTGAGTCCTCTTACCCCCCCACATCTGTGGCCTGTACCCCAGCTCTTGTATGCATAAATAAATCTTAAAAAAATAAAATGGGGGGGAATGTAATAAGTTTTATTCACAAGATATATTTAGGGTCACTCACATTCCAAATGCCATTTAGCTACTGTAAGATTAACACCAATGTATTGATATAGTCATCTCACTTAATGCTGTCAATATTTAAAGTAAGTTAGCTCCCTGCCAAAAACTGCAAAGTTGACTTTGCCAGTTTAGGCTTTTATGTTATTACACAGGAATACTGCAGCATCTTTCTCAAATGGGCTGCCTTAAGAGTTCACAATTCTCCTAATTTGCTAACATTCAACCTGCTTGGTGCTACAGTCACTGATTTATGTACTGGTGCTATAGTCTAAATTCACTGAGGGTAGAAATCCATTCTGTTCACTTCATTTAAAGTATTTACCCAGCAATTCTACTCCTAGGTATCTAACCAAAGAGCACAAAAACACTAATTCAAAAGGAAACCTGCACTCGTATGCTTAAAGCAGCACTAGTAACACAACAGCTAAGATATGGAAACAACCTAAACGCCCCAGAACAGATGAGTGGATCAAGAAGATGTAGTACATATACACTACGGAATACTACTCGGCAATCCATTCCTAACTAATCCTGACCTTTACCTAACAGCAGGCTGTGTGCTTTTCTATTTAAAAACAGGATTTACAAAATGGTATTCTAGTTACTACTGTTAATAGTTATGAAATTGCTACAGAAATCACGTGTTCTGTAACTGTACATGTAATTCTAGTAAAAAACTAGAAAACTGGTGGGAGAGACTGTGAAACTTTCAGAGAAAAAAAACTATTACGCCACCACACACAACCTTGACAGATTTTAACTTACCTTTCTCCCTAAGAACAAGCTTGTTGGAAAAAACATTCTTTCAAATATCTGGTAATTCTAAGTTCATTTTCTCCTATAAACATATTATTACAGGGCCTCGCTGGTGGCGCAGGCGATTGAGCACCACACTGGGAAGCTTCTGCAGCGTGGGATCTGTACCCCGGTTCTTGTATAAGTAAATAAATATTTTAAAAAATATATTACTACGGAGATCGATGTTAAGTCACGATGCTTTGCACTGTGACCACTGTCATCAAGAAGAGCAATTAACATGTCACACCAGTCTCTTAAATTCCCCACCAATAGTAGTGATTTTTAAAAATTGTCTTGGGGAAGACTTCCCTTTCTTCTTTCAATTTCTCTCCAATATGTAGAACTAATCTCTACTATGGGTAAATATCAAAACAAATGTTTGTATTCACCTGTAACCCTGAACAGGCTGTACTCACTGGTAGTTTCCTAGCAGCTGGCACAATGCCTGTTCAATTAATTCCGTGCACGCAGTACTCCAGAGTTACAGACGCGATCGCGGAACCTACGCAAATCGCTGAAAAATCTTTTCTCTTAAAAGTGTTTGGAGTGACGGGCACCGCCACTACGGAGCCATATGAGATTCCCAAATCCACTCCGCGCGGTTAGATTCGATACGTTTAAGTGAATCAAATGAGGTTATTTTTATTACGACTTATCAAATGTTACTTAACATGATTACAACACTATTTAAAGGCACCGAGCGTGAAAGAACAGCTCCACGGTCACTGCCACCTAAGCAAGGCACCAGATTTGAAGAAAAACAACTCCGCAATTCTTGCAGCTCCCACCCTCGTCCTCACGCGCACGCTGGGGCCCCAGCGGCCGCAAGGGTCGGCAGGGACATTTCGCCCCGACACACCCCTGGCGACCTCGGGCTGCAGGGAACCCCGCTCCGCCTCCTCCTTCCCCGACCCCCCGCGGCCCTCCCAGGCGGCCCCAGCGCCAGGCAGGGAGGGAGCCCCGAGAAGCGGCCCGACTCCCCGGCCCGCGCCAGCTCGGCGGGGTCCCACGCGGCCCGGCCCCGGCCCACCCCCAACGGTCCGCAGGCCCGGCCGGTCTCACCTCTCCACCCACTCCCTCAGGAAGCGCATTTCCTCGGTGTGCAAGACGCCGGGGTCCTGCTTACACATTTTTACAAAGGCCCGGAGCTCGCTGACTTTGCGGGGGTCCATGGCCGGGGCGGCGGCGGCCCGATTCCAGGCCCGGGGCGAGCGCGGCGTGACGAGTGCGGGGGGCGGCTGCCGCGAGGCCGAACAGACCCGAAGCCGCCCGGCCGCTGGCTCCGCCCACCCAACGGCCTCGTGACCCGGGGTCCTTCGCTCCCTCAGGCCGTCGCCTCTCCCTGCGCTCCTGCGCACTGTAGAACCTTCTGGAAGTGCGGCTGTTCGCGCCGATGCCTGCCTTTCCACACCCACATACTGCCGCCATGTTTTTGTGATTTCTTAATGGCTGCTTTACGGCTTTCATGTTGTCTTTTCTAAGCCATACATTGAGACTATTTTAACTCTGAACCAGTTCTCGGCGGGGGGGGGGCAAGCGCCGCACGTGGTGCTCTCAAGGAGCGCGAGCGACCAGCCCCTGCAGGGAGCCGCCAGGGTCGGGCCTTCATGGCGCCGGGGCACCAAGCGCGGCGCGCGGCCAGGGCGCCGCCATACCGGCAGGCCCCGCGGCGCTCGCCGCTCTGGCCGTGACGTCAGCGCTGTGCGCCGTCGAGGAGGAAAGCCTGAGAGCGCGCCGGCCGGAAGGGGCGGGGCTGTTGGCCGCGTTTCCTGGCGACGCAGTCTGGCCGGCGCCGCTTCTCGGACAAGTTTTGTTCCTTCCCTTCCGGACGCGGGAGCCCCGTGATCATGCCGTGGCTTCTCACAGCCACTAAGCTGGTGCCCGCCGCAGCCAGTGCCCGCGGCCTCTCAGGTTAGACTCGCCTCTCACTGTGTGCCCGCGGGCCTGCTCTCTCAGGCGTCTGAGAGCCGCTCGCAGGGCATCCCAGGTTCGGCGGACCCTCCTGCTGCTGGGGCGCCCCAACCCGTGCACCCCGCCGAGCTCTTCTCTACTTGCTGCTCCTGGCACGGGGTGGGCCCGGTGCGCTCTGCCGTTGAGGTATTCTGGGAAGCTGAAATGACTGCAGAGAGAAAAGTGTGACATTCCCCAGAGGGGCTGTCTTCACAGTTACTCGGACTCGTAGATAGGGTGTCAGTTTACCTGTTTAGCTAACAAGTCTCTCACTCCTCGTGTAGCCCCTCTCTCTGTTAGATTAACCTGAAATCCTAAATTCATGTCTTCAAAGCGTTGACTTGAGAGGTGGCTCTGTTATAGAGCAGCCCCGAAACAAGACGGGGTGCCTGACTGTGGGTCCTCACCCGCGCGCTTAAAAGGACTTATCAATGCTCTACCGCAGGCACACGCGAAAGGTTAATAAAAGGTTTATTTACAAGGGAAGAGGAAATGTACAGCTCAGGGAGAAAAGTGGGAGACAAAGTTTTAAATGAGTCCTACCCAATTACCCGATCTGGAATCCCAAATGGCACTCAGAGCTGGCTGCAAACCTGGGGCCTGAAGCCAGGAGGCGAGCGACAGCTAGCCACCCCAAGGCCCACGTGTTTGGTTTTTATACCCAACCTGGCTGCTTAACTCCACCCTCAGGTCCCAGCCACCCTCCCTTTGGTGGTGATGGGATTTGTCTTTACCAATGTCTTGATGGCTTTAGTCTGGACTGGGAGTGGAGTCCACAAAGCCTGTATGGGATTAGCTCAGGACATCATTTCCCCCTAACATCTCCAGAATAAGCAAGAAACATGTTTAGGAACATCCTCTGAGCAATTTCTCTCAGAAGAGGTAACGTTTCAAAATACTCCCAGGACTTTTTATATCTAAAAGTCCTTGATAGAGACCAGGAATATGTGAAACCATTGGGGGAAGGGTGCTTTGTTGCAAGCAGTTAATCTGATAAACAGAGATCTTGCTAAGCAAAAGTTGAATCATCTACCCTGTGAGCGCATCTGTTACCGGATCCTATTTCGGGTTTGGGCGCAATGACCAATGTGAACCAACGCATGTGGCATTTTGACAAAGCTGCTTTGCCATGTTTCTGATGTTGATTTACTAGGATTTGTTGGAAATGTTGTGGTAATTATAGCAAGAGTTATTTTCTTGCTCTAAAAGTCGAAATAAAGAAAATAACCGTCCAGTGCACAGAAGTTGCTCCTCAGTTACAATAGTTAAACTGCAAAAGTTGTCCCTCTCCATGGGAGGAGGTGAATAAATGTGCATTTAATCAATATTGGTGACAGGCCACAGCTATCATTTTGAGCTGGAATCATCCTTTGCTTGTGACTTTTTGAATTTGTTAAGACTTTGTATAAAACCTCATCAATCAAGGTTTAGGACTACATACTGGATTATACATGCCAAGATTTTTTGAAAAAGATGTTCATTAAGCTTGTTTGCTCCTATGGGATAACTTTAGCATCCTCTTTCACATAAGATATATAATGACTTTTTGAATGAATGAGTGATCTCAGAGCTTCAAAAATTCAGGAAGTTAGGTCAGGGTTCTGGACATACTAGATGTTACACCAAATTGATTCTGTGTTCAGATAAGTATGGGAAATGCTGCACTTTATAGTTATGATAGACTAATTCCAAGTCTCTGAGAGAGAAAAATATATTTGGCAGTAATATGCAGAATGTATTTGGCCATGGATCACTTTTTCTGCAGTGAGTCTTGTACTGATATCCTTTGGAGCACATGTTGGGAAAAGTTGGGCTACAACCTAAAGTTTGTAGGGAGGGATGATAAGAAAACCAAGTTGGGAAGAAAAGCAAGTGGCTGGCTCATGGAGAACCTTTTATTACTTTAAAATGTAATGATAGTTACTTGAGTAAGATAAAATCTGAATGTAAATACCCGTTAAGTGTGGGACAGTGGGATGGAGAGTATGTCACAGCATTCTTACATTTTCATAGACTCCAGTGTTTGCTTTTGTTTTCAGAAAATTGGGTTTTTCAACTCTGACTCGTCCTACATATATGACAGATAAACTACTAATACCACCTTTTATATAAGTAGCATTTAAAACATTTTATGCCTTTGTGATTTTATTTTCTGAAAATAAACTTTAAATTCTAATTGTCCCCCGTTCCTCCTTTAGAGTAAATTACCTTTCCTCCCCACCTTCTTCCCATGAAGGATCCCCACTAAGGATCAAATAACAAAATAAAAGTTTGTGCTTTACTACATTGGTCTTTTAAAAATAGATAGTGTTGGGTTTTTGTTTTTTTTTTTTTCCAGCTTTCCAAACCAGAAAAACGGTGCTAAATATCATTGAACTTTATTCTGCCAAAAGTTATTAGGCTTTAATGCTGCTAGATTATTTGCTCCCATCTTTAAGTCACTTGAAAATTTATAGCAATGACATTTAAGAGATAAAAGACTGAAAGAATATGATTAGTAGATTTTTTGCTGAAAAAACTCAATGACAGGAAACATGTAGGATGCAAGGCATGCTTTCTGGCCTTTATTATAATACCATCGGAATTTTTTTTTATTTAGTAAATCCAGCATCTCCAATGTAGCACATCCAAGATTTAATTCCTGCAATTCTCAGATAAGAGCACCTCCCTTCCTCTTGTTGCTCAGCTCATATTCCTTGTTACCTTTGACTCCTTCCCCAGGCCCCAATCAATCCAACATCCTGTCTTTCAGAAAATTCTGTTTGGTCCTACTTTTAGAATACTCAAGAATTCCATCAGTCATTACCACCGTGGACCAAGCTACTGTAGTCTCTTGCTTAGATATGAAATGAATTCATTCAATTCATTGAATCTGTTTTCAATGACATCAGCCAGAGTGGTCCTGCTTAAATATGTCAGTCATGTCACTTGCTAAAAAAAACTCCAGGGACTTCCTGTCCTACATATAGCAGTTTATGCTGTGATGTCACAGTCTGCACAGTCTGACCTCCTATTATCTTCATCTATTTGGTCTCAACCAATCACAGTGATCCATGTTTATCAAATGCCTATTACCCAACCTGCCTTAGGGCTGTTGCACTTGCTGCCCCTCCTGCCTGGGCTTCTCTTTCACCAACTGTGCACAGGGCTGACTCCCTTACTTCCTTTGGGTCTTTACTCAGATGTAGCCGTCACTTTTCTTGCTACATTTGCTAAAATTTCAGCACTCATATTTCAAAATTTCTATTCCGCTTCCCCTACCTGATTTTTTTCCCCTGAGCACCTATGACTAATATTGTATTTTATTATTTGTTTACTGTCTGTCTCTCACTTTGTAAGCTCTATAAGAGCCATGATTTTTGCTGTTTATTCATTACTGTACCCAGGTATCTGGAACAGTATCTGACAGATAGTAGTTACTCAATAAATATTGTTGAATGAAATAATAAAAATAATAGGTTGAAAAGAAATTAAACCAATTTCATTTAAAAGAAGCATATGTGGGTAAACAGTTCAGACCACTTGCTTAACAGCTGATGTATTTGTAACATCTTTTTATAGTTCCTATGTTCACTCAAAAAGAAAATAGGGGGCCTCCCTGGTGGCGCAAGGGGTTAAGCACTGCACTATGAAGCAATCCGCAGCCTCTGCAGCAAGAGTTCGATCCACAGCCGGCAAGGGAGATACCCACATGGTGAGGCAGACCTCTCCTATCTCACCTGCTGCTCCCCTCAGCAGTGTATTTCGGTCAGACTGCCTGTTCTGTTCCCCACTCTGTCTCTGGTGGATCCTCTCACCCCCGCATCTCTGGCCTGTGCCCCAGCTCTTGTATGCATAAATGCATGTTTTTAAATACATGCACTGGGTACAGTCATGAGAGAATTTTTGCTGAAGCAAGGAGAGAAAGCATCGAACCGGCGCCGCAGAGGCCGCGGGCAGCTTCGCAACCCAGCGCTCAACCGCTGCGCCATCTTTTCCCATCTGGACTGATTCACTGATGGCCTAGCACATATGATATAGCCAGGCTGCTGAGAGGAATCCAGGGTTAAATCTGACTTTTTTTTTTTAATTGTGCCACATGCATATAACATAAAGTTTATGTGTTAATCATTTTTAAATAGCAATTGTGAAACAGTTGTCCAGAACTTTTTCATCTTGTAAGGCTGAACCTATACCCCTTAATTCCCTTTTCCCCTCTACCCCCAGGCCCTGTTAATCATGATACTACTTTCTGTTTCTTTGAATACTTTAGATACATTGTGTACCTAGAATCATAGAGTATCGCTCATTTTATGTCTGGCTTATTACACACAGCATGTCTCAAGGTTCGTCCATTCTATGGCATTAACAGGAATTGCTTTTTAAGGCTAAATTATTTATATATATATATATATATATATATACACACACACACACACACACACACACACACATACATGTGCCTTTATGTATAACTATTTTGTTTATTCATGTGTTTATAGACATTTGGGTTGGTTCCATCTTTTGACTTCTGTGAATGCACGCAGCTGTGAGTGTGGGTATGCACCTATAAGTTTGGCTGTTTTTAATATAAAATACACTTTTAATATATTGTGTCTTCAAGTTATATGGCAAATGCCTCTTTTTTTTTTTTATAATTTTTTTTTTTTAATAGAGGCATGTTTTTTTTTATTTATTTATTTGTTTGTTTGTTTGTTTTGTTTATACATGCACTGGGTACAGTCAGAAGCGCGGGAGGGTGAAAGAATTCACCAGAGCCAGAGTAGGGAGCAGACCAGGCAGAAGGACTGAAGTACACTGCTGAGGGGAGCAGCGGGCGGCAGGAGAGGTCTGCGCGCCATGTGGGACCCTCCTCCGGTGGCCGGGGAGCAGCCGGGGATCGAACCGGCGCCACAGAGGCCGCGGGCAGCTTCGCAACCCAGCGCTCTACCGCTGCGCCACCTGGGAGGCAGGGCAAATGCCTCTTTTGGAAAAAAGTCATCTCATGAATAATTATATAATCTGATCCTGTGTATATTAATGCGTTTTTATCTCTAGTACTATACATATTTCAGAAATTTGTTAAGAGTAGTTTCAGTTAGATAAAAGGAATGATATAGATCACAAACTCTACTAAAGAAAAATTCTATAATATAAAAACTTTTAGCTCAGAAGAAACAAAGTTAAAAAGTCTGTTTTCATCATAGCCACCACGAACTCATTTTTTTCTGACATACGTATTCCAAACAGCCAGTCAGCAAATGTACAATCCTGCTAAAAATGTTAAAAACATAATCTTAGTATAGTATTAAACAAATGTTATCTATAAAACCCTGTGATTAACCAAAACACACCAAGAGTCGTGTTCAAATGTTATATAATGTGTCTAGAGAGTCAATTTAACGATTCCTTTTGTTTGACGACTTCTTGTGTACCTCTTTATGCTTTTTTTTTTTCCTCTTACCACCTTCTTTGAATCCTGCGGGGAAAATAAAGGGATTCCAGTTGCTGGTGACCAAAGGTATACCTTGCACACCATTGTCCGCTAAAGGGCATTGAGATACATGTTTGGGGCTACAGCAGTGTGGTGGGTAAGTGTTGAATGACTGTCGTCTCCAGCTGCATTCTTCTGCAAAGCCCTCTTCGTCCACCATGCCATTTATAAGGAAGGACTTCAACTCGCCATCATCTTCAACTTCTTCTATCTCCTGATCATTTTCAATGTTGGCATTTCTGCCATTAATAATTTTACCTGAAGTTGTAACTTCAGATAAAGATACATAATCATCCATCCCACTAAATGATGGGGAACAGAATGAATGAAGGCCTTCATGGCCTGCGGAACTATATGGTGTATATCCCATATCATATGAAGAAAATCTCTCAAAAACTGGATATTCACTGGAGGTAGAGAAAAAGGATCTTGTGCCGCTGTTTCTGCTTCCATATGAGCTTCTTACGCTATTTAAAAGTTCCTCAAGAGAGTCTTCAAAGAAATGAAATGAAAATGGATCCCTTTCACCAAAAATTTCTTTGAAGATAGCATCTCGCTTACGAAATGTGAAGCCATACTCAAAAGAATCATCAGAATGACTTTCACCTCCACCATTTAATCCTTCTTTGCCATATTTATCATAAATGTCCCGTTTTTCATCATTTGATAATACCTCATATGCCTCTACTACTTCTTTGAATTTTTTCTCAGCTTCTTCTTTATTTTCTGGATTTTTATCAGGATGCCATTTAAGTGCCACTTTATGATAAGCCTTTTTAATGTCTTCAGGTGAAGCATATCTCTGCACTCCTAAAACTTCATAATAATCCAACATGTTTAACTGATTGTTGTAAAGGAGTATGCTGGGTAATAAGAACTGTGGTTTCCTCTCAGCTCAGGCTGTGCCAGTGATGGATAGAAGTAGTGGCTGCACATAGGCACATTTTTACTTTGAAGGCAATGTTATCACCGTGGACCACTGCTCGGAAAGGGTGAGATGCTGACTGTGTGATAAGCAGGTTACAAGCATATGTCATAGAGGGCTGCATTATGTTGTCATTCTGGGGTTGAGGTAGACAGTGGAAGTTCCAAATGGAGTTAGTCAAGAGTACTACCAGACCACCTGCACCCTCTGAATTGTTTGCCTAGTATTCCCCTGGAAGCATTGGACAATGTAGTGGGACCTGTAGTTGAAGGCCACAGCGTGCCTCTTGCTGATATGACCTCTAGGTTACAGAGCCTTAATAACGTCCCAGTTTTTCCATGTTTTCATTTGGAAAAATGAATTTATCAACTGTGAAAAAGGTATTCAAGGAGTTCATGTATTTGTTTATTCCTGTAAAGATAATTCAGTAGATGATACAAACAACTACAGCATTAAGGGTTATGATGGAAAGCACTGGGTATTAAGCAAACATGAGAGACACTTGACTTAGACTTGCTGTGTCAGGGAAGGCTTCCTGGAGGAAGTAGCTTAATATACAGGCTTTCCCCATGTAGCAGTGAGTCATTTGAGATGATGATATCTCTGTCCACCTAACATTTACTACCTTAAAAGACATAGATGAAGATTTTGAAAATATGCATTTTTATATTCAGGGTGTAATTATTGACTGCCTACTTTGTGCAATGCACAGTTTTAGCCACAGATGATAACAATATTAAAAAAAATACCTATTTTCATGGTTATCATGTTATAATGGAGTACAAATAAATAAGAAGGCAAATAATTTGAGATAATGTGATATGTGCTCCCCCCGCCCTCCCAGCTCTGTGCTGGTGGCAGAGAGCTGCCTTGCTTAGTTTTAGAAGACCTCAGAGTTGATGCTACAGAGCTGAAACCCAGGTGACAGTCAGCTGTGAGATCATCCAAAGTAGTAACTGCTCGCCATGTTGGTGGACATTTTGGTTGCTGCCAGTTTCAAATAATTACTAATAAAGCTAGTGTTTCTATATGGAAAGCCATCTGATTTTATGTGTTTAGTGGACCAGTGGCTGAAACAGGGAATTCATTGTGGGCAAGCAAAATCAGAAAACCCAGTAGAAGCAAGCTAGACCAAAGTTGATTCTCTTTTGGGACAATTTAAATTATTAATAGACTAGACCTGAGTTAAAAAAAAAAAAAATGTTTTCTGTTTCTAATTCATTGTCCCAGGAATTCCTAAAATGATATGTTTTTTCCTCTGTGGTATTGTTTCCATTGCATTATAATTGAAATTTATAATTTCAATTAAAGTTTTATATTTCTAGACAAGTCTTTCCACACCATTTGCCTGCTTTGAATATTTTTGCTTTGTGTTTATTTTGATACACCAGTTGGCTAGAGGTATTGTGACACTATTAAACTCAATTAATTTCAGTTCTCTAATACATCGCTTATATGTTTGTGTGTGTGGTACACATGATTATATTCACTTGCCATTCAGAATAATCTTGATAACATTGAACATCATTTAAGCGCCCTCTTTGAATCATACTCTACCGATTAGTGACCCTCATGCAGTTTCTCTTAGTTCTCACAGCATTCCAGCAAAGTGAATATTTTTTGCGTATATGAAATCTGAATTTTCTGAAAGATCATTTGTCTAGGGCCACCTTGTTTGTTAATAAAAAATTGATTTTTTTCCTAATAAAGCCTTGTGTTTTAGAGGATGGAAGATAGGCAATATACAAGCAAAACATTTTAAAAAAATGTAATAAGAAAAAATATAACCTGAAAGGGACATAGGGAGTCCCAAGGTGAGAGCAGGATTGTAAACAGGAGAGTCTAGGATGCCTTGTGATAAAGCTCTTGAGTGGGTCAGTCGCTGCAGACATCTCCTGAGATGGAAACTTCCAATTACCACAGATGCCTTGGCCCAAACAAATCCTTAGAGGTAGCATTATGATCCACAAAATTGACATTTTTTAAAAAGATTTATTTATTTATGCATACAAGAGCTGGGGTACAGGCCAGAGGTGAGGAGGGGTGAGAGGATTCACCATAGACAGAGTGGGAAACAGAACAGGCAGACTGACTGAAATACACTGCTGAGGGGAGCAGCAGGCGAGGCAGGAGAGGTCTGTTGCGCCATGCGATTGCTCACTGGCCTGCGGGGGATTGAACTCGGTGCTGCAGAGGCTGCAAACAGCTTCATAGGTTGCATCTTACCCTCTTGTGCCACCAGGGAGGCCCCAGAATTCACATTTATACTTGAGTCTGTTTGATTCCAAATTCTGTGCTTTCCACTCTATCACATTTCTTGAACCAGGTCTGAAGTGTTCAGGCTGTAGACATTCCACAAACATTTACTGAGAACGTATGATACAAAGAGACATTAGAAAATTGATAATTCTTCTCTCAAGAAATTCATATGGGGGCCTCCCTGGTGGGGCAAGGGGTTAAGCACCACACTATGAAGCAATCCACAGCCTCTTCAGCACAAGTTTGATCCCCAGCCAGCCAGAGAGAAACCCACATGGCACAGCAGAGTTCTCCTGTCTCACCCGCTGCACCCCACAGCAGTGTATTTCAGTCAGTCTGCCTGTTCTGCTCCCTGTTTTGTGTCTGGTGAATCCTCTCATCCCCCCTGCATATTTGGCCTGTACCCCAGCTCTTGTATGTATAAATAAATAAATCTTAAAAGAAAAAAAGAAATTCCTATGATTGGGGAAAATAATACATTGATAAACTAATTTCAATAAAGTGTAAAAGCATAACAAGGATTTGTTTCTATAATAACTCCCATCCCTTGACCCCGACCCCTTAAGCTGCTACACTGCCTTCTCTGAGCCCTTCACAGTAAAACTTACCAAATTGGGGCCTCCCTGGTGGCGCAAGGAGTGAAGACACAGTACTATGAAGCTATCCGCAGCCACTGCAGCACGAGTTCGATCCCCAGCCAGGGAGGTGACCCATATGGAGCAGCAGACCTCTCCTGTCTCACTCGCTGCTCCCCTCAGCAGTGTATTTCAGTCTGCTTGTACTGATCCCCACTCTGTCTCTGGTGAATCCTCTCACTGCACCCCTGTCCCCTCATCCCACACATCTGGCCTACATCACAGCTCTTATATGCATAAATAAATAAATTTAAAATTATTTTCTTATTGTCTATATTTTCTCCCACCTATTTGTAGCATACTCCAACCTGCTTTCTGTCTTTTCCTTTTTTAAGTTTTATTACAATATAATTGGTATATAATATTGTATATGTTTAAGGTGTATAACATAGTAGTTTGATATTTGAATATAGTACAAAATGATTACCTATAAGTTAACAGCCAACTCTTGACAGTTAAGACCTTTTTTTTTGTAATGAGAACTTTAAAGATTTACTCTCGTTAACTAGAATCACCATCAAGGCATTAGGTCCCCAGAGATGATTTACCCCATCACTGAACGCTTCACCTTTGACCATCTTCAGCCATTTTGGCTTCTGTCCTCTGTACTGTCCTAAGGCTGTTTTTGTCAAGTCTCCAGTGACTTCTGTGTTGCCAAATTCTTTTACCCTGTTAATATTTAGCAACACTTTACACACTGGAGCATGGGACTCTTTAAAAACTTTAAAACCTCTAAGTACCATGTTCTTGTTTCCTTCCTTTGTGCTGTGTTTCTCTTCATACTATGATACTGTAGTACCTCGGCTTTATCAACACCACCTCTGGGGGTATTACCTAGCTCCTGATGGCACCTTCGTTCATGCCTTCCCCTGTGTCTTTTTGACCTCTTGATTGAAAGAGCCAATAAGTATCCTAGTCTTCCCCTTTTCTATAATCATCTACCTGCTTGTTTAAGCCAAAAACCTGGGACTCATTTTAATTATTCCTCTTTTTTTCTTCATTCCCGGCATCTAATCAAAAACCAGACTCAATTGGTTTTTGGCTTTCAATATTTATCCCAAATCTAATCACCGGGGAAATAGTCAAATAGCAAATGAATCTTCCAAACGTTTACAGTAGACTGGCATACTAACAATTCTATGAAAGGATAGTAGGTTTTAAAATAGAATTAGGGGGCCTCCCCTGGTGGTGTAGGCGGTTGAGTGCAGCTCTGTGAAGCTGTCTGCAGCCTCTGCAGCACCAGTTCGATCCCAGCCGGCCAGTGAGAGTCCCACATGGTGCAACAGACCTCTCCTGTCTTGCCGGCTGCTCCCCTCAGCAGTGAACTTCGAGGGTGAATCTGCTCACCCTCCCACAAATCTGGCCTGTACCCCAGTTCTTGTATAAATAAATAAATCTTTTTTTTTAAAAAAATAGAATAGAATTAGGGCCTCCCTGGTGGCGCAAGGGGTTAAGACGCACCTATGAAGCAATCTGCAGCCTCTGCAGCATGAGTTTGATCCCTGGCCGGCCAGGGAGCTACCCACATGGCGCAGCAGACCTCTCCTGTCTCACCCGCTGCTCACCTCAGCAGTGTATTTCAGTCCATCTGCCTGTTCTGTTCTCCCTTCTGTCTCTGGTGAATCCACTCATCCCCCACACCTCTGGCCAGTACCCCAGTTCTTGTATGCATAAATAAATCTTTAAAAAATAGAATTAGAAAATAAAACTGTCATTAATTTTAAAAAAATAAAAATTTTAAAAATAAAATTAAACACAGGAGCATTGAAAGGTGGTATTTGCATCAGAAGCCAGAGGGGAGGGGTGTTTTGGCTTTCTAGATTAAGTGATGTTTGAGCTGATTTTTAAGAAGTTGGGATGTCATAGAAGCAGATCATTCTAGGCCAAGAGAACTGCATTTTTAAAGTTAAATGCTATTATAATACAGACTGATTAACTGGAGCCCTTCAAATGGTTGAGTATGGCAGCAATCATGTTTTTTGAAAATGGGCCAGAAGGGTGAGCTGGGTCCAGATCATAACAGGTCACTGACAGGTTACAGGAGTAACCAGCATCTGGAAACCTAAGAATATCCCCTCTGTGGCCACAAAACCAAGTGTCTACTAGAGCTCAACTTCTGATCCTACATAGTTTTGGGAGAAGCATGGATCAGGGTTTATCTCAGCAAGCACGCGTAGCAGCTTCTGAAAGATTCAAGGGTCAAGGTGAAGCTGACTCAGACGATCCAGAAAACCCAAACTCCCAACTATGTAAGAGGAAGATGCACCAGAGGAAATGGTTGGTAAATGGGTGTGGAAGTTAAGGATATAGAATTGGTCATGCCACAAGCAAGTGTGTCCAGGACAAAGGCGATTGGAGCCCTGAACAACAGTAAAGAGACTGTACATGCCATTATGAAATTAACAATGTAACCATCTGAAAAAGGGCAGAGGACCTTTTTTTTTTTTTGGTGTATCAAAAGTGATTATACCTTGGCTTGAAATTTGTACTACTATCATTAATAAAGTTAAGGCTTCTTGGGTGAAAACAAAACAGTTTTCCAATTCATGGCCAGTCTTGCTCCATCCAGCCACCTCAGGCAGCCTCTGCCCACCCCCTTATTCTTTGAGACATCCCAGGTCATATCACATCATCTGCAAATAGTTTCATTTATATGCAAAAAATAAGGCTCTTTAAAATTATCTATCACCACAACATAACCTGTCACCACTAGCACACCTTAAAAAAATAAACATTTCCATAATACCATCAGAGAGACAGTCACCGCCCAAGTTTCCAATTATAAGAAATAATGTGGGTGGGATTTGTTTAGCAATTTGTTGCTTGAATTGGGCCTCATCTAAGGTCCGCATATTATAATTGGTTCATCTTTTAAGATTTTCCTAACTGTGGGTTCTCTTGTACCTCTTATCGCCCCTAACTGCCTTGAAAGTGACGTGTGGAAGAAACAGCTGTGTGTCCTGTAGTGTCCTCCAGTCTGGGCATTGTTGATTGCATCCTATGGTGTCATTTAGCAAGTTCTCCCGTGCACTGTATTTCTAGAAGTTGTTTGCCTCATCTTTGCTGAGATTTCAGTGTGTATAACTATCTCCCTAATGTGAATTCTGTACATTCTGTAAAGACAAATGCCAGAGAATACTTGTTGAATGTTTTGTTCCTTTTCTCTCACTTTTCATTATTCTTAACTATTTTCATACTGTCTGTAACCATTTTCTGACATTTTAATCATCCAAGAAGATACAATTTTCCCCCATAATCATCTATAAACTTTTTAAAAAAGATTCATTTATTGGTGCATACAAGAACTGGGGTACACGCCAGAGGTGTGGGGGTGGGTGGTGAAAGGATTCACCAGAGACAGTGGGGAACAGAACAGGCAGACTGACTGAAATGCACTGCTGAGGGGAGCAGGGGATGAGTCAGGAGAGGTCTGCTACGCCATGTGGGTTGCTCCCTGGCCGGCCAGGGATTGAACTCGTGCTGCAGAGGTACGATAGCTTCATAAGTTGTGTCTTAACCCCTTGTACTACCAGGGAGGCCCATCCTCTGCAAACTTAACATGAGTTTACACTTCCTAACTTCACACATATCCCATTGTTCATATTCACAACCCCTACCAAAAATCTGTAACGTGATCCATACTTAGCAACTACATGATCCTTGTAGCAACTACATGTTCACTAAGATAATTGTATAGGAATGATTTTGTTGTTGGGTTTCAGCAAAGATCCACCAACAGGGTCCAGGGATAAGAGCAAAGATTTGGTAGTGAAATCAACCTGAGTTTGAATCCCAGTTTCCCCAGCACAATGGAGCCTTGTGCAAAAATTACTTCGGAGCCTGATTGCTTATTTGTAAAATAACAGTGATAACCTAATTTCTTAACTGCATGCGAAGCCGTCAACGATCTGATCCTCACCTTCCTAATCTTTTCATTTAGGGTGGGGACACTAACCTGACTCTCCCCCTGGGCCATGATGGGGTGTCAGTGCAACCCTTTGTGCAGTCAGGCTGCCTGGCCCACCCCACGTCTCTTCCACTTAACTAAGCCCACTTCAGAGTTGGCATCACCTACAGTGCTTCTCTGTTCCCGGAGCACCCCGTGCCTGTCTGTCTTTGCAGCCCCTGCACGCAACAGAGTTCTGCACTCAGAAACCTGCATATAGGCCCGCGCTGGGTTCTCTAGCAGTGTGGTGACACTCCGTGTCTGTCTCACCTCCCCTAGACTGCACCTTCTTGAAGACCAAAGCAAATGGGCTCATCTTGTTCTTGTGTCTTTCCCAGCATGTATTCTGTTGTGCTCAATTTTGTAGAATGGAAGCTAACGTTTATTGTGTGCTGCTTTCATGTATTGCTTTCTCGGGCTCTATCCTTCCAAGATTAAATGAGCTAGCGTGTGCATATTTCCTTATACTTAACATTCTCAGTAAAAGCATTAATTCTCTTTTCCTGAATTTTAGGACATAGCTTTACAAGACCTCTGCAACATATCCTCCCCAATTTTTGTTGCCTTTCTGGTGACCCCTAATCTTACTGTGTTTATAGACACCTCTGTTCTACTCTATTAGATTAAGGTCACTCGAAGACAAGATCTCGTATTTGTGTTTCTAGGGCTCAACTAGGTTCTGGCTGGCACAGAGAAGAAGGAACACAGAGATATTGAAATACTAAGTTGCATTTTTCTAAAACATCCAAGTGCTGGCAATAGGTAAATGTATATATGCTGTGACAGTTTGGCAGAGCCATTGTCCCGTTTCATCCTCTGTTCTTCCTCCAGGATGCCCATCCTGTGCCCTGCGAAGGTACTCCCTCCAGCCCGTTCCAGAGAGGAGGATCCCAAACCGCTACCTAGGCCAACCCAGCCCCTTTACACATCCACACCTCCTCAGACCAGGTAGGCTCTCTAATTATAGTAACCTTGTCTCCTTAGGTGCTTTGTCTGGAACAGTGCTATCCAGTAGAATTTTTCACAGCAATGGAAATGTTCTAGAACTGTGCTATCCAATACAGTAGCCACTAGTCACAAGGGACTGTTGTATATACTTATAATTTTGTGAGTACGTCTGAGGAACACATCCTTCTCACTGATGATTCTGAACTGTAGGGCTGGTTGTAGTTACCGTCATAGGCTAGCTCTGTCAATACAGCATCAGAAGCCACATGTAGGGATTTGAGCTTAATTAAAATAAAATAGAAAATTCAGTTCCTCAGACGTACTCACAAAATTATAAGTATATACAACAGCCCCTTGTGACTAGTGGCCTGCGCCACCAGGGGAGGCCCTCAGGCTGTTTTTAAAGAAAAGTTCTATTACTTTCTCAGACATAGTTTCTAGAGTCTTATTGTAACCCTTGATTCCTTGTGAGCTGCTGTGTTAAAGACATTTTAGAAAATGTGTTTTTCTTAAAAGTGTTCAATGCTCATTTCAAAATTTAACAAACCTATTTCTCTATAGATTATGCAATATTGGGCCTCCCCGGCGGCACAGTGATTGAGCACAGCGCTGTGAAGCTGTCCGCAGCCTCTGCAGCACAGTTCGATTCCCGGCCGGCCAGGGAGAGACCCACATGGCGCAGCAGACCTCTCCTGTCTCGCTCGCTACTCCCCTCAGCAGTGTATTTCGGTCCGTCTGCCTGTTCTGCTCCCCGCTCTGTCTCTGGTGAATCCTCTCACGCTCCCGCGCCTCTGACCTGTACCCCAGTGCTTGTATAAAAATAAATAAATCTTTTAAAAAAAAAAGAAAAAAAAGATTATGCAATATTACCAAATCTAATTATCACATCTTCGAGAAGTGATAACAGTGATAAAGGTGATACCAAAAAATTCATAAAGGTTTCTACCTCACTCATTAGAAAATGTGTCATCAAGTCACTGCTCCACAAACTCAGGTCTAAGGAATTTTGTTTGGTTTAGAAAGGTAGCTAAGGGATGATATAGTGTAAATGGATAGCATCTCAAAGAGGCAGGTAGGGATAGGGTAAAATCAAATACTATGTACCAAAAAAGTCAGATTTTTGATGGAAATTGTTGCTTCTGCCATGGGAAATTAGATCAGTATTTACTATGCGAGCATATATATAATCTAAATTGCCTTTGGAAACACGTTACTCTTTCACTGTCTCCACTCAGTGAATGCTACAGTGCGTCTCTCAGTAAGGGCTTCCTTTTGCTGATTCCTCATCAGACTGGAATTCCCGCTGAGAAGAAGGCTGAGACAGGAAATGCAGCTCACCACTGAGACACACAAGAAATGAGTTTTTCAAAGTGGTCAGGTAAGCTTAATAGCAATCCAGTGTATTAATTTAAGTATTTTTCCCCATTATCAACCCACCTGTTAGCTTCAATCTGACAAGGGGGGAAAAAAGAAGAATTGATATTAAGTTTTACCAGCTTTGAAAATTATCGATTTCTTGTGGTGAGATGTTTTTATGTGGTAAGCTGCATTTTCCAGGCCTTGAAACTAGTAGTGATCTTGTTAAGATGATGACTATCTCTGCTAGACCTTTCACTATTTATTCACGTGTGTGTTAATTAGACTAAAAAAAATGAGTGTAAATGTATATTCACACATACATGTTCATATATATGCATGTGTCCATATCAGCTATGGGGGAAAGGGATGCCTGTTCTAATTTTTACTACTGAACATTGGTTTTTGGACATTGGGGTAATTGAAAAGGGATTAAAGTAGATGGAAATTTTGGGCCTCCCTGGTGGCAAAGGGATTAAACACTGAAACCATTGGCAGCCACTGCAGCACAAGTTCTATCCCTGGCCAGGGAGCTGACCCACATGGCACAGCAGACCTCTCCTGTCTTGCCCGCTGCTCCCCTCAGCAGTGTATTTCAGTCTGCCTGTTCTGCTCCCCACTCTCTCTAATGAATCCTCTCACACACCTCCTTAGTCATTTTTTCAGAGAAATCTGTGTTTTACTCTATAAAGAAAACATTTATTAGTACTCTCTTCCCCATCCCAATTATATAGTAATGTATTATTTTATGAACTTCCTTAATATAATAAAAACAGCTTGATATTAAATAGAATTCTTTTCAAGGACGCTGCTTCAAAATCAGCAGTTAAAATCCTACTCTAGATCATTTCAGGAAATAATTAAAATACATACCTAGATTGTAGCAAATACCTGTATCTTCCCACCCATTTTTCAGCCTTCATAAAACTTTCTTCTCGGGGTTTTCTGCTTGACTATGCAAATATGGAGAACCTGGTTTTTGTTTTCTTGAGAAATCAGTCCTCAGTCTCCTTGAAGATCTTTTGTTCTTGACTGCAGTCTCAGGATTCATTGTGAGATTTTCTATTTGTAGAGTCCAGCTTGTGACATTTGATTGGTTAAATAAGCTCCTTAGACTAACCCCCTCTATCCTTAATTGATTCCACGTGATAAAATGACTTTGCTTCTTATTACTTTACAGTTTGACAAGTTGACAAACTGTCAATTCAGGTACAATTTTATCAGAAGAAATTTACACCAGATTGACTATAAGAGCCAGTTCTGTGGTCAAAGGCCTTAACAACTGCCAGGTTTTACCTGTAGGGTTAAAGTTCATGGCTTTATCAGACTTTTTTTCTCCTCCTTCAAAGGAAAGGTGTCTTTCTTTAGATAGTGTTTCTTGCCTGTGGGAGTGTTCTTTTGTCACTTTGAGATTTCAAGCCTGGAAGTACTTTGTTAGCGATCACTCCACAGTGTTGTAATTACTAGGTCTGGGAAAATGTCACCGGTGTTTTAAATATTCCTCATATAGTCATGTGTATGAAATTGCATTCAGCATAAAGATGATTGCTTTGTGGGCCTCCCCGGTGGCGCAGCGGTTGAGCGCTGGGTTGCGAAGCTGCCCGCGGCCTCTGTGGCGCCGGTTCGATCCCCGGCTGCTCCCCGGCCACCGGAGGAGGGTCCCACATGGCGTGCAGACCTCTCCTGCCGCCCGCTGCTCCCCTCAGCAGTGTACTTCGGTCCTTCTGCCTGCTCTGCTCCCCGCTCTGGCTCTGGTGAATTCTCTCACCCTCCCGCGCTTCTGACTGTACCCAGTGCATGTATAAACAAAACAAAACAAACAAACCAGCAAACAAATAAATAAAGCATGCCTCTATAAAAAAAAAAAAAAAAAAAAAAGATGATTGCTTTGAAGTGTGTAAAAGATGGTTTTCCAATCCAAAATGCTTTGCTTTATAAAAAATTATATCTTTTCCCAGAAGTTACCCTTAATGTATGTACATGTACTCTGAACATGAGAGAAAACATGTGGTTGAATTAAGGTTATTAAACCTAAATTTTCTTCTTCCAAAAAATTTTTAAATCACAAAATATATTTCTTAGATTTAGTTTTATTACATGAACGGTAGCTGTGAAGTACTCACAAGCAAAACCCAGGAAACAGTGAAAGTAAGAGACAAAGAAAGGTTGGATAATCTAACAACCAGCTTCTGCTTTGATGAAAGAACATTTATTTACTGCTTGCGTAAACTGGGACATTTCTAATGTTGGGTAACAGCAGCAGGATTAGCGTGAATAATTATCAGAGCAATACACAGTTAAGCTCTTCTTAAGCTCCAGTGCAAAGTTCACTGTTCCTGCCCAAGATTCTCAGCCAGCTCAGTCCAGAGAGAAATGTGACCCAAGCTCTCCAGGCCTACTTTGTCGCTTTGCCTGATTCAAATTGACCTCTAAGGCCCTCTTTTCTACCTCTTATTTTTTTTTTTTACCAATCCATCAATAAAAATGTCAATTTTCCTATTATGGATAAATCTAAAAAGTTAAATAAAAAAGCCAACTAATAGTTTTATTGGTTGACTGCAAACTACAGAACTTGCTGGAGAGAGAAACTACACATAGGTAAAACAACTAGATTACTCCAAGGAAAATATAAACAACTGAGCGTAAGTACCAAGAAAACTCAAAAGGTTTTTGATCCAACACTTTCTCTGCTGGGACTATCCCACAGAAATAAAAACACCTATTCATTGGGTATAAAAGTTCTAGCATAAAGTACAAAGATGTAGACTATAGCAGCAAGTAGCTAAAACAATATGAATGCCCACCAGTATGGAAATGGGTCAATATAAGTTATGATACGGGCCTCCCCGCTGGCACATTGGTTGAGCGCTGGGCTGCGAAGCTGCCCATAGCCTCTGCAGCGCCAGTTCGATCCCAGGCTGCAGGCGAGGGTTCCATATGGCATGCAGACCTCTCCTGTTGCGCCCACTGCTCCCCTCAGCAGTGTACTTCGTTAGTCTGCCTGTTCTGCTCTCCGCTCTAGCGCTGGTGAATTCTCTCACCCTCCCGCTTCTGACTATACCCAGTGCTTGTATAAATAAATAAATAAATAAATCTTTAAAAAAATAAGTAAGTTATGATACATAACCCCAAGAAATATTATGGAGACTAACAATAAATTGAGGCTGTGCCAGACAACTTAGTGGGAGGGGTTTCCATGAGGTATTATGTCAGAAAAGCAAGATACAGAAAACGTTGTACAATATTCCATTTTTGTGAAACACTAGTGATTCAAAAAATCTTAAATGCAGGTATCAGTGTCTGCTTATATGCTGGCTAAGATAGACATACTAGATAGACATACTAGATCACAGACATGGGCTAGGAGCTGATGTGGGTAGGAAAAAGCAGGGTGAGGAGCCTAACAACAAAGAAAATGGGGGAAAATATTTCACTATTGAAAGTTCTATGTGCTATGGATACCTTTATACGTAGCTATAGGATGTGTGTATCTAAGGAAATAAAATATTTTGCTTTAAGACAAACAATTCAAAGGGACAAAAAAAAACACCCATGACCTTTTCAGTGAGAAGAGTTAAAACAAACAAGTATTGAGCCTGTGATCTCGGAGTGGAACTATGGAGGGAGAAGAAACTTCAGAAAGGAGACGCCGTGAGCGAGGGAAAAAGGCAAGAACAGGGTGTGAACAGACATAAGAAAAAATTCATTTCAGAATAGTTGGGGGAATGATAAGAAAAGCAGTTGGCCAAGTCACCAGACACCACATCGTGTGTGATTTAATTTATGTGAAAGCTCTACAACAGATAGATCCACGAAGAGATAATAGATTAGTGATCACCAAGGGCGGGCAGGGTTGGGAGGTAATGGAGACACTGGTGAGCATGGAGTTTCTTCTTGGAGCATTGGAATTCCTACAGGGCCTCAAGCCCAAAGAGTCCCCTTTGCCTCTAGGGAGAGAATTCAACAGAGCGCACTAGGTGTGGTTGAACCAGGTAGGGCTTTATTAGAGAGTCTCATGCATGAGGGAGCCAGCTAGGGAAAGCAGAATAGATGCTGGCTCTCCGCAGGAGCAGGAGGGGATATTTAAAGGCTAATTGCACAAGGTCTGGAGGAGGAGCACAGCGTCATGGCTTGTTCTGGGTTAGGCAGTGCCCGGGGATGGGCAGACAGGTTGTGTTCCAACTGTGCACGTAGGCTCTTGGCCTCGTCCCTCCAGGGGACTGTGAGCTAATCATCAGTTGGGATCTGACGTTTTTTGTCCGTCACAGTGGCTCGTGGTCAGTGTTGTGGCAGAGTTGTTTAGTGAGAGCGCACCAGGCCATGATTTAGGGCACCTTTTCAATCATCTCATCTGACTCATAGTTTCTTTTACCCAGGCTGTCTCAGAGTATCCTAAAATTGTGGGGTAATTCTGTGACTATATCAAAAGCACCAACTTGTACACTTTAAGTGGGTAAATTGTATGGTATATAAGTTATATCTCCATAAATCTGTTTAAAAAAAAAAAAGATTGGGCAGATAAATTGGAGTCGCCTAGTAGAGAGTGTTAAAATCTAGTCTTACAGGCCTCCCTGGTGGTGCAGGGATTAATATCTCAGCGCTATCAAGCTATCAGCAGCCACTGCAACCTGAGTTCAATCCCCAGCATACAAGTCTGGGATGTAGGCCAGAATGCAGAGGGTGAGAGGATTCACCAGAGACAGAGTGGGGAGCAGAACAGGTGGATTGACTGAAATACACTGCTGAGGGGAGCAGCAGGCGAGGCAGGAGAGGTCTGCTATGCCCTATGGGTCAGCTTCCTGGGAGCAGGGATCGAACTCAGGTTGCAGTGGATGGAGATGGCTGAGACGTTAACCCCTGTCCCACCAGGGAGGCCCCAAGTTTGTGTCAATGGAATCATAGTATCCACCTTGATCTGTAGCTTTTTCATACAGGGGCATTTCACAGCTAATTTCCTGGGCTTGCCTGTGGAGACTGCCACGGAGAAGAATGGTGACCCACATCAGAGAGTCATTGTAAAGATTAAATGAGTTGATCTGTGTAAATAATTAGAATAGTACCAGACACGTAAGCATTCAATAAGCATTAGTTGTTGTTTTACCATTATTACTGCTCAGTAGGTTGGTGGATAGGCACAGCTTTTATTTTGGTACTTCTATCACTTTGGGACCTAAAGTGGAAATAGGCTTAATTTCCAGCTCAGAAGGGAAACACTCCCCCAGTCACTAGGCAAGCAGTCAGGCACTCTGCTAGGTACTACTATTAAGAACTAACATAGGGCCTCCCTGGTGGCTCAAGGGGTTAAGACGCAACATCTGAAGCTGTCCGCAGCCTCTGCAGTACGAGTTCAATCCCCAGCCGGCCAGGGAGCAACCCACATGGCGCAGCAGACCTCTCCTGACTCGCCCCCTGCTCCCCGCAGCAGTTTCAGTCTGCCTGTTCTGTTCCCCACAGACTCTGGTGAATCCTCCCTCCCGCCCCGCCCCCACCCCCCCCCACACACACACTCCTCTGGCCTGTACCGCAGCTCTTGTTTGCATAAATAAATCTTTAAAAAAAAAAAAAAAAAGAAGCAACACATACACTTTGTAGAGGTTCTTAATCCAAGTTTTTGGGGTTGGCTTAAGGGAATCTGAGACTTTTGAAATGGTATGTCTAGAGTTCGTATGTGTCTGCATGCAATTTAGTAAACAGCATGAATCCATAGCTCACAAAATATTCTTAGGGAGTCTTCAGTCCCCGAGAACCACATGATTTAGATTTGATTCTCATGGCAGCCCCCAGAGTTTTTGGAGGATAGAAAGATGGTCCTGACCGGCAATGAGGTTATATGTATATATGTTCAACTCACTGTTCATACAAAACAAAGAGTTAAAAGTTAATAGAAAAGGGGCCTCCCTGGTGGCGCAGCGGTAGAGCACTGGGTTGCGAAGCTGCCCGCGGCCTCTGCGGCGCCGGTTCAATCCCCGGCTGCTCCCCGGCCACCAGTCGAGGGTCCCACATGGTGCGCAGACCTCTCCTGCCACCCGCTGCTCCCCTCAGCAGTGTACTTCGGTCCTTCTGCCTGCTCTGCTCCCCGCTCTGGCTCTGGTGAATTCTCTCACCCTCCCGCGCTTCTGACTGTACCCAGTGCATGTATAAACAAAACAAACAAAAGCAAAACAAAATAAATAAAGAAAAACATGCCTCTTAAAAAAAAAAAAAAAGTTAATAGAAAGATGTTATTATGGCATGGGAATTCAGAAGGAGAAATTTATTCTGGCTCTTGAAATTGGGGAAAACTCTTTGGCCATAAACTCTATGATGTTCAAAACTAGAGATCATGTAACAGATATTTATCAAATGCTCATAGCTTTCCAGGTGTTATTCTAGGCACTGGGGATATAACATTGACAAACATCCACAGCTGTGTCCTCATAGTTTGCTTTTTTTTTTTTTTTTTAAGATTTATTTATTTATACAAGCACTGGGTACAGTCAAAAGTGGAGAGGGTGAGAGAATTTACCAGAGCCAGAGCGGGGAACAGAACAAGCTGAGGGGAGCAGTGGGCGCGGCCATGTGGGACCCTCGCCAGCGGCCGGGGATCGAACCGGCGCTGCAGAGGCTGCGGGCAGCTTCGCAGCCCAGCGCTCAACTGCTGCACCACCAGGGGAGGTCTGGAGTTTGCATTCTTTTGGGAAAATCAGACACAGATAATATAACCCTTCTCCTTACCTTATACACTGATACTTCAGATTAGCTTTGATTATATGCCTACCGCATGCCTTCCACATAAGAAAGTTCAGTAAATATTTGATTGAGTGAACCAGAGGGTTAGAGGAGATCTTTAAGTGGTCATGACCCCAGTTTTAAGGCAGAACCATACTTAACTATCATTTCTTCCAAATTTTAACAGTGGAATAGAAATTGGAAACCTCATTTATCTCCTTAATTCCCCATGTGCAATGAGCGGGTTTGGCATAAATGGGATAGGTGAATGTGCGTGTCTCCATCTAATATCTACCTCAAGTCTGTAAGCACTAGAGAAATGCAAAGCATCTGTTATTTGTCATTTCCAGGGGAGGTGACACCAGGACTGTCCCAGGTGGAATATGCACTTCGCAGACACAAATTAATGTCTCTGATCCACCAGGAAGCACAAGGGCAAAGTGGGATAGACCAGACAGTGGTTCTGCTGTCCAACCCTACGTACTACATGAGCAATGACATCCCGTATCCTTTCCACCAAGACAACAACTTCTTATACCTGTGTGGGTTCCAAGAGCCTGATAGCATTCTGGTTCTTCAGAGCCTCCCCGGCAAGCAGTTACCAGCTCACAAGGCCATGCTTTTCGTGCCTCGGAGAGACCCTAGTCGAGAGCTCTGGGATGGCCCACGATCCGGCACTGATGGAGCCATAGCTTTGACTGGAGTCGATGAAGCGTATACGCTGGAAGAATTTCGGCATCTTGTACCAAAGCTGAAAGGTAACAAGTGGGAGAAGTCCAGTCATTGGCCAGATTGGCATTAAGACCTTCCTTGCCTATCTAGACAGTTACTAATTTCCAAAAATGTTTGTCATGGCCTGTTTCCTTAACACCATGACAGGAACATGTCTTTTCTAGAAGACTGGGCTACTTTAATCTTTCATTCCCTTGCTAAGTCTGCATTGGATTGTGCACTCACAGAGACTGTTAACTGCCCTAGTTTGAAATCCCTGAATGCGAATTTCCTTTTAAAGTGGAAAATGGGGCAGTTCAAGATTACTGACCTTTGACCACTGCTTAATTGCATTTGCCGACTCTTCAAAAGGAGGCTGTGTTCTCAAAGAATGACCAGGCGTCACCAATGTCCGCATCAGTCACCTGGTGATGTCTGATGGAATAACCAGCACATGGTAGCTCCCGGGCACGTAGTAGCTCAGCCCCCTACCACCACTGATCAGAGCCCACTTGCTTAGAGAGGTCCCGCCAGGGACTCATTCACACTGTTTCAATTCTTTTCCCTCAAAATAGTTACTTTCTCTACATTTGTTGTAAAATGATGATTGCGCATGTGTTTTGGGATTCTTTTTCTGGAACTTTTCAGAACCCACAATACCTTAAATTTTCCTTGGTTCCTGCAAATCTCTAGCTCTCTGGGAAACATGTTATTTTTTTAACATATCCAGAAATCACTGAGAGTCAAACTTGGTGAATAAGATAGATGATCAAATTGGAAAATTGATGATTTTAGAACAAAATAATGTAAAGTTTTACTCTGATTTGCTTGTATGGTTTATAAACCACATTTGCAGTTAGTTTCTAAAAGGGAATTCCAAACTGGTTCCCAACAATCATAGAATATATTGAATTTGTTCACTATAAAGACTTCTCTGAAGGAAAATACTCACTTGACCATGTAGATTCTTTTTTCCTTATATTTGTGTAGAAGAACTGAGGTATATGTGCCCTATGTGGGTCAGCTTCCTGGCCGCGAGTAGAACTCAGACGGCAGCGGTGATAGCACTGAGACTTAACCCCTAGCCACCAAGGAAGCCCCCGACCATATAGGTTCTAATGTGTGAACACTTTTACTTTATACAAATATTTTCTATTTTACAGAGGTAACTACCCCGGTAAACTAGGGAGCTTTCTCATATCTTCTAAGTCTTCGTCAATGTGGAGCACAGAATCTTTTTTTTGTAGCTTTTTGATTTATTGAATTGCTTATTGTCATCTTCTACATTCTAAATTTCATTAATCCAGTTATGAAAATCTTACATAAAATCTATTTCTCAAAAGCACTTCTCATTCACAATTCTCGATTTAATAGTTTACTAGATAAAAGTACCAAGTAAAAGGAAAGATTAATGAAATCATACTCATTAAAAATTTTTAAAAACTAAAAATGTTAGGCCATGATGTCACACCATCACATCAGGTTGTAGAGGCTGTTTCACTTTTTAGAAATTACAGCAATTAAATATCTGTTCAAAATAAGATTAGTTTCACATATAACATGCATTTAAATCCAGTTTTATTTCAAAACAAAAATATTTAAGAGATTGATTGTATCACTAACACAATATCAAATCAAGAAAATTAGGATATTCCCCCCTTCTTCTGTCCCAAAATATTTTGTATAAAAAATACACCCCTCAGGGCCTCCCCGGTGGCGCAGCGGTTGAGCGCTGGGTTGCGAAGCTGCGCGCGGCCTCTGCGGCGCCGGTTCGATCCCCGGCTGCTCCCCGGCCACCGGAGGAGGGTCCCACATGGCGCGCAGACCTCTCCTGCCGCCCGCTGCTCCCCTCAGCAGTGTACTTCGGTCCTTCTGCCTGCTCTGCTCCCCGCTCTGGCTCTGGTGAATTCTCTCGCCCTCCCGCGCCTCTGACTGTACCCAGTGCATGTATAAACAAAACAAACAAAGAAACCAGCAAACAAATAAATAAAGCATGCCTCTATAAAAAAAAAAAAAAAAAAAAAAAAATACACCCCTCAGACTTAGATTGTTGGAGTCTTGCTTACAGGGCACCATCAGAAAAAAGAAAGGAACAGATGGAGACCCCGGGGAAGTAGAGAGAGATTGTTTTGTTGATGAACCTTCTCATCTCAAGGCAAGATGGACAGTTTCCTTGGGTCTCTCAAGTTAACAGTAACTGATGATCCGCAACGAGACTGTTGCAGGTGGAGAAGGAAAGATTTCCATGCAGACGTGGATTAGCCCGTGTTCACTGCTTTGTGTTCCACACTCATAACTGCTCCTCGACAGGAGAACTTCCTCTTGCGGGGCTGATTCTCTGCCGAGGAAGGGCGGGAAGACTTTTAACCATAGGGTCACATCTCGTTGCTTTTTCCTGTCCTTCTGTGTTGAATTAGCCAACAGTGCTGCTGGCTTAGTTATTGCGTGGAGAACAGCTCCTGTGTTCTCTACCAATTAATAAATAGTTAACAAAACCAAAGCTTGAATACAACTTCAGTTCCATGTATCTTTTATTTTTTGCCACTGAAATTTGAGGGAAGAAAAGCTGTAGAGTCGGTCTCAGAATTTCTTGCCATTTTCAGGGAATGACCTTCCCAATGATTTATGATCAAATCCTTCCGTGACATCAGTCCTGAGAGTTCGTGCTCAGCCCCTCAGAGCCCACACTTGAGATTGTGTAGTTCTTGCTCTTGTGCAAGTCATTGTAACAGCTGGTATTTCTTGATGCAGTTAGCTTTATTTTCATTTACTTTTTGGCTTCTCCTTTTAAGCGGAGACAAACATGGTTTGGTATGACTGGATGAAGACGTCTCACGCCGAGCTTCACTCTGAGTACATGCATAATCTGACCGACATCAAAGCCCGGAGCAAGAACAAGGTCCGGGCTGTCAAGCAGCTGATCCAGCGCCTCCGACTGATCAAATCTCCTGCAGAAATTGAGCGAATGCAGATTGCTGGGAAGCTGACGTCACAGGTATGGTTCCTAGTTTTTCCCTCATTAAAAAAGCTAAGCCGGCAGGATTCAGTGGGCACCTTGCGGTTGTGTTCGCAGTGCAGTAACCTCACAGGTGAACATGTGTCTTCTAGTTGGTGTTTAGTGAACATGTCTAGAGACTTGCTCAGAAGCTTGCAAGGCAAGTGTATCTGCCCTCTTGTGTCTTTTACCCCCCTGGATCTAAGTTATTTCTCCTTGAAACAACGTAAATTATCTCTATTTCCTTTCCTGATAATAACTGTACTAATTGTTGTAGTTAAAACATACATTGATTGTTAAAAAAAAAAACCTCACAGGATCCAAAGTGACAGTGCTTACAAATCTGTAATTTATTATAGAAAGAGGGTGCAGTAAAACAACAGAGATAGCCTCAAGTGTAGGGTCTCCACCTTGCTGTTAAATTATTAAAGTTTTGAATTCTGTTGATTTCCTCCTTTTTTTTCCTTTTATTTTTTTAATTTTTTTTTTTATTTTTTACATCATTGGTCATTTTTAAACATATTTGCTTCCCCCTACCCCCTCAGGTGTAGTCCCCATAGAGTTTCCTTCACCAGTGCACCCGTGCACCATCACCACAGTCCCTTGTGTTCCTCCCGCCCTCCCTCTGTCCTCTCCCTCCTCTTGCCCTGTAGTATGTCTCTGATTTATAATTGTCTGTTTTTGCTTTGTTGTGTTTTGTGTTGTTGTTATTTTTTTACACTAATGTCTTACTTGGTTCCCCTATGTTCCTGCTATAAATGAAACCATCCAATATTTTTCCTTTCTGGCTTATTTCACTGAGCACAATTCCTTCTAGTTCCAGCCACGTTGCTGCGAATGGCTTGAGTTTATTTTTTTTGATTGCTGAATAATATTCCATTGTGTATATATGCCACATCTTCTTGATCCAGTCATCTATTTTTGGGCGTTTGGGTTGTTTCCAGATTTTACCTATTGTAAATAGTGCTGCAATAAATATAGGTATACAGGTGTTCTTTTGAATCACTGTTTTTGTGTCCTTTGGGTAGATCCCTAGGAGTGGAATTGCCGGGTCATATGGTAGCTCCATTTTAGTAGACTGAGGAACCTCCGCACAGCTTTCCATAGTGGTTGGACCAGTTTGCACTCCCACCAGCAATGTAGGAGAGTTCCTTTTTCACCACATCCTCGCCAACATTTGTTGTTGCTTGTTTTTTTGGTAGATTTCCTCCTTTCATATCATTTTAAATTAGCCCTATAAAAACTGAAATGCTTTCGGTCCTGAATTGTTTGCCCCTTTTCTTACTTTCTTTCCATTTGCTACTTTTTATATAAAATATACATAATGTAAAGTTTACCATTTTAACTTTTAAAATAAACAATAATCATTAAGTACATTCACATTGTACAACCATCACTATTACCTATTTCCAGAACTTTTTCATCTTCCCAAACTCTAACCATTAAACAGTTACTCCCCATCACCTCTTCTCCAGGCTCCTAGACCCTCTAATCTACCATGAACTTGCCTATCCTAAGTACCTAATATAAATGAAGCCATACAATAGTTGTCCTTTTGTGTCTGTCTTGTTTCATTTAGTCTCATGTCTTCAATGTTCATTCATTTTGTATATATCAGAAATTCATTCCTTTTATGGCTGAATAATATTCCACTGTATTGCCTGTATTTTACTTATCTATTAATTTGGTTGTTTCTACCTTTTGCCTTTTGTGAATAAATGCTGCTGTGAACATTGATGTATCTGTTTGAGTCTCTGCTTTCCTGAAACGTACCAGGGAGTAGAATTGTTGGAATATTTGGTAACTCTGTGTATAACTATTTGAGGAAGTATCAAACTATTTTTTATAGTGGATTTACCATTTTATATTTCTACCAGCAACGTATGAGTGTTCCAGTTTCTCCATTGTTTCACCAACACTTTTTTTGTATAATAGTCATTCTCATGGAAGTGAAGTGATATCTCATTTTGGCTTTGATAGTCATCTCCCTAATGGCTAATGATATTAAGTATCTTCTCATGTGTTTAATGGTCATTTGTATATCTTTGCAGAGATAGCTATTTCGGTCCTTTGTCTATTTTTTAATTAGGGTGTTTGCTTTTTCTTTTTTTTTTTAAATTTATTTATTTATTTATACAAGCACTGGGTACAGTCAGAAGCGCCAGAGGGTGAGAGAATTCACCAGAGCCAGAGCAGGGAGCAGAGCAGGCAGAAGGACCGAAGTACACTGCTGAGGGGAGCAGCGGGCAGCAGGAGAGGTCTGTGCGCCATGTGGGACCCTCCTCCGGTGGCCGGGGATCGAACCGGTGCTGCAGAGGCTGCGGGCAGCTTCGCAACCCAGCGCTCAACCACTGCGCCATCGGGGAGGCCCGGTGTTTGCTTTTTCTTGTTGAGTTATAGAGTTGTTCTTTTTTTTTTTTTTTTTTTTTTTTTATTCCCAATACCAGATACTTATCAGGTATAACATTTGGAAATATTTTTTCTGTTGTCTTTTCACTGCTTGCTAATGTCCTTTGAGGTGCAAAAGATTTTAATTTTGATGAGGGGCCTCCCTGGTGGTGTAAGGGGTGAAGACACAACCTATGAAGCAACCCACAGCCACTGCAGCACGAGTTGGATCCCTGGCCAGGGAGAAACCCACATGGCGCTGCAGACCACTCCTGGCTCGCCCGCTGCTCCCCTCAGCATGTACTTCTGTCAATCTGCCTGTTCTGTTCCCCACTCTGTCTCTGGTGAATCCTCTCACCCCCCCACAACTCTGGCCTGTACCCCAGCTCCTGTATGCATAGATGAATGGATCTTTAACAAGATAATAATTTTGATGAGATCCAAAACACCTGTTTTTTCTTTTGTCTAGTGTTGTCTGTGTTTTCTTTTGTACCTAGGCTTTTGGTGTCAGACTCCCAGAAAATCATTGCCCAATCCAAGATCATGAAGCGTCTCCCTGTATTTTCTTCTAAGAGTTTTATAGTTTTGCCTCTTAAGTTTATGTCCTTGATCCACTTTGAGTTGATTTTTATATGTGTTTCTTAACAGAAACATAGGAGTAAGTCTTCACAACATTAGATCTGACAATAGATTCTCAGCTATTTCACCAGAAGCACTAGGATCAACAAGATAAATTGAATTTTTTCAGAATTAGAAACAATTTGTGCAGCAAGGAACATTACCAAAAAAGTGAAAAGGCAGCCTGGCGGGGGCGGGGGGCGGGGAGAGGGGGGAGAAGAAATGCCTGCAGATCCTATATCTGCTGGGGGCCTCTAGCTGGAGTATGTGAGAACTCTTAACAACAGCAAAAAGACAAGGGTCCAATGTTATTCTTCTGCATATCCCTTATTTATTTCTCTTATAAAGTGATAAACTCCATATTACCTTTTTCAAATCACACGAAGAAGTTGAAAGCAGACCTCTCCTGCCTCGCCCCTTGCTCACCTCTGCAGTGTATTTCAGTCGACTTGCCTGCTCTGCTTCCCACTCTCTCTGGTGAATCCTCTCACCTCCCCCCACCCAGTTCTTGCATGCATAAATAAATATTTTTAAAAATTCAAAAAAAAAAAAAAAAGATCTGAAACTCTTGACGGTCTACTGAGATCCAGCAGCAAACACAGGCAGCCCTTGCTGGGGGGCGCCTGTTATCCCAGCGGCCATGACTCGGGGCTTCCTGAAGCTGCTCGCTGCCTTCCTCATATGGCCAGTGTCGCCCTGCCTGTTTCCACAGTGTCCTGCGACCTCAGTGTTCACTGATCTTTATATGACAGAGGCAGTCGCCACCTCCAGATATGTATGGTAGGCCCCTCCCTTACCCCTCTAGGAAACTTGAGGTTTCCCTGTGAACTTGATTGCGCCTCCACTTAACGATGTTTCAAGCCAGAAATTTTTCCATCTAAAATTCTCAGGGGCCTCCCCAGTGGCGCAGCGGTTGAGCGCTGGGTTGCGAAGCTGCCCGCGGCCTCTGTGGCGCCGGTTCGATCCCCAGCTGCTCCCCGGCCACTGGAGGAGGGTCCCACGTGGCGCGCAGACCTCTCCTGCTGCCCGCTGCTCCCCTCAGCAGTGTACTTCGGTCCTTCTGCCTGCTCTGCTCCCCGCTCTGGCTCTGGTGAATTCTCTCACCCTCCCGCACTTCTGACTGTACCCAGTGCATGTATAAACAGAACAAACAAACAAACAAATAAATAAATAAAACATGCCTCTATTTAAAAAATAATAATAAAATAAAATTCTCAGGAGCCATTTTCAACAAGCTCTCACCAGCGTGTTGCCTGTGGTTCATATCCTTCTCTGAGTAACCCCTGCCTGAATTTGTTTTGCTCCTCCGTCATCAGTTTACCCTGCTTGAATTATCTTATTTGTTGTGTCTCACAGATTTACCTGATTGATCAAAATTATAGTAGCCACTTTCCTTTGATTCCTGCTCCACCTGTTGGCCAAAGAGAGTAAAACTTACCCGAAGGAGACGAATCAGCAAACATACCGCTGGGTTTTAGCAGAATTGCCATCAACTTACAATTCACTTCTGATCCATTTTTCTAATAGCTGAAGTTCACGTTCTGTCATTTCCAGATTTTGCTGACTTGGAGTCAGCCACACCACCCATAGTTTCATTTTCATTCCCTTTATCAGAGTCATTTTTTTCTTTCAAAATAATGCCTTAATCGTAGATTTAATTAGAATAATTCAGACATGCTGGGACAACAGGATGTCCACGTGCAAAAGAATGATGTTGGACCAACCTCACACTGAAATAAAAAATTAACTCACAGTGAATCAAAAGCCTAATCTTGAGAGCTAAATTTATAAAATTCTTAGAATAAACATGGGGAGAAGCTACATGACCTTGAGTTTGTCACTGAATTCTTAAAATATGACACCAAAATAAGCAACTGGAGGAAAATAGGTAAAGTGAACTTAATTAAAATTAAAAACAGACATTACCAAGAAAGTGAAAAGACATGAGAGAGAATATTTGCAAGCCTATCCCTGACAAGGCTGTAGGATCTAGAATATTCAAAGATCCCTTGCAACTCAAAAACAGAAAGATGGGGCCTCCGTGGTGGCACAAGGGGTTGAAGCACCACACTGTGGAGCAATCCACAGCCTCTACAACATGGGTTCAATCCCTGGCGGGCCAGAGAGCAACCCACATGGCGCAGCAGACCTTTCCTGTCTTACCCGCTGCTCCCTCAACAGTGTATCTCGGTCAATCTGCCTGTTCTGTTCCCCACTCTGTCTCTGGTGGATCCTCTTGCCCCCCACATCTCTGGCCTGTGCCCCAGCTCTTGTATGCATGGGTGGATAGGTCTTTAGGGAAAAAAAACAAAAACAAAACAGAAAGACGGCCTGTCACTGTGAAAGTATTCTTACTTGAAAGTTGTTGCTATACCATACCCTTTTTTGGTAATAAAAAGCAATTTGCAAAGGAATGTTTTCAATTACCTTTCTCAACACAAGGTAATGACATCACCACAAAGTCCAATAGAGTAACAGCAAGTAGGGTTGTGGGCTAACCACTGGACTCTGTGTAACTGCCATTATTAGTGCAGTTGGCATTAGAAGAGGGAATGCTTGGGAAACACCTAATTCATTCTTTTTTTTTTTTTTAGTTCAGATGAATTCACATTACATAAACTCAACCAATGAAAGTGAACAATACATACCTCCACCTCTATCAAGCTCTAAAGCTGAGCCCAACCGACCACAGTCTGGTGCCATCCTTCCACCCGGAGTCCCTGCCCCTCCTTTCCAAATGGCACCATCTCCCAGCTCTCACATCACCCCCGTGCGCACACACACAAAACATTCTTGAAATCATCCCTGAAATGCTGTTTCTCTCCATAGATGCATCATGAATACATCCTTTCACGATATCTTCTATGAGATGCACAAGGGGAAATGCAGAGAAAATCCATTTTATGTTTTTCAAGAATTAAAATACACATATTTAAATAGCACCTAGGGCAGAGACGGTCAGGTGTTAATTGGGAGTGCGGGATATACCTCATGACAAGACCGCCCAAGAAGAAGCAGCAGTCATGAATTAAACCTGCCCCTAGAAGGACCTTGTGCACATGGGAGGGGTGGGGGTATGGAATTGGACCAGAGATCCCTGGACTCCTGTGAAGAAATGGACCCCTGGGAGGCACAGCCACTACAAAGAGAAGCAAAGCAAGAAGAGTGGGCATTTGGCCACCCAGGAAGCAGGGGGAACTTCTGTCCTATTTGGTCTGCATGGCGTGTAAAATGGCCGCAGTTCCAGAGGTTGTCCACTCTTCCCTAAGGACTTGAAAAAAGCTTATGAAAAGACAAATCCTTCTTTAAAGTGAATGAGCCTCAGTAGAGACTTTTCATTTTTTTCCTTTTTTTAAAGTTTCCTTAAGTACTTGAAAATGTAGTGCTAAGTGGGTACTTACCAGCATTTGTGTCTACATATAAATATGTTTTCTCTCATTTTAATTGCTAATTCATTCGGCAGATAGTACTTAGTACTTACTAGTAAGTGTCTGGCCTGCTCTAGGTTCTGAAGATACGGGGGTAAGCAAAACAGACTCTCCGGATGCCCCTGTGCTCGGTCTCCATTTTAGTGGAGGAGAGAGAAACCATCAAGACACATCACTGCTGAAGTTAAATGCTGGGAAGAGAAATGAAGCAGTTCAGGTGCTAATTCAGTTAAGATGGTCAGGACAGTCCTGTCAGGAGGAAACATTTGAGGATCATCAAGGAAAAAGGGTGCAGTCCATGCAGATACCTCCCACCACCCTACTTGCTGTTACGCGATTGCACTCTGTGATGATGTCATTGCCTTGTGTTGAAAAAGTTATTAAAACAGTCCTTTGCAGGTTGCATTTGCTCAGGATATGACAACCTGGAGACACCCCTTTCCAGCTGCAGTACCGTGCAGTCACAGCTGGTTCGTTTTTCTCCCACAGTTCCTGGGAATTGCTTAGCTGGCTGGGTTCCCCTCTTCACGTCAGCTCCTGGGAAACTGAGGTAGTAGTGGTAGTGTGGTGACGGCCACCATGCTGTGGGTGGTTATTTTGTGAGCTCCATACCCCCTGCGCCATGCTTTTCTTTGACTCTGTGCTAAGTGTGTGCTGTCTGGTGGTACATGTCCAAATAAGCCAATCGAAATCCTTTCGGAAACAGTACAGTGGTGAATTAGAAACATATGTGCTTATAAATGTGGAACACACATGGGGTGCACCCACACGGGGTTCACACACAGCATCACAGAGAATAAAAGTACTCACACTGGCCAACAGCTCTCAACTGGGGAGCAGTCTTGTCCCCCAGGGGCTATTTGGCAATATCTGATTATCACAGATGGCGGGGGCAGGTGCTGGCATCCTATACTGAATGGGCTAGCCCCTCACAACAAAAAATTATCTAGCCCAAATGCCAGGAGTGCTGAGTTGGGAGATCCTACTATAGACGCCCATCCATCCTTGTTATGTTAGTGACAAATTGTTTCTATGAAGCTCCTTCCGGAATATACAGTGTATATTCTGAGTAGGAAGGCTGGGGCTCTTCCACTGTCCTGAAAGTAGTTTTATTCCCTTCAGAAATCCATGTTATGCCCACAAAGTCACAACCTCAGGTTGACAAAATTGGGGAGAAGGGTGCTTTTCTTTTGAGTTCCACTATGCCGAATGTTTGAGTAAGTAACGTGGTTCAAATGAGACTGTTCTCTCATCCCCCCTTCTCTTTGCAGGCTTTTGTAGAGACCATGTTTGCCAGCAAAGCTCCTGTGGAGGAAGGCTTTCTTTATGCTAAGGTGAGCTTCAGATGCGTGCAAAGAGTTTGTGGGAGGCAGCTGTAAAGTAAGCTCACAGACTGGCACATGGCCTCCTTTGGGCTTTCCTGGAAGTGACCAGCATACTGGTGGAGAGGATCTGGTTCTTAAATGTCACTGGCAATTTGCTAGATGAGTCTAGAATAAGCAGAGTTACAATTAAATGAAGAAAATGGCAAAGTAGACCCGATGAAAGAGGCCTTACACATGTGTCGGGTGCGAAGAGTCGCGCAGCTGTAGTAAATGTAAGGAAGAGGCTCCCAGGTAGGAGTCAGCGTGAGACACGCCCAGCCCCCAGCTCTGCCTGGGACATAGGGAAATCTGTAGAATTTACCAGTCATTGTCTGGCATCCTTCTCCACTATTCCAGAGCATGTAGGTTTGCAGCAATTTTTTGCAAGGTTGAAATTAGTAATTTAGAGCTGTTGTTAAAAGTGCAAGCAAGGTCCCTACTCCTTTTATCTAAATAAGGAGAAGCAAACTAGCTGTACATGACTGTCTGTCCTCAGCCTCATTTCCAGGCCTTCTGTGTCCTCTTCTGGATTTAACTTAAAAGTCATAGGAAAAATCATAGGGTCCTCCCTGGTGGTGCAGGGGTTGTCTCAGTGCTATCAAGCTACTGCCAGCACTGCTGCATGAGTTCGATCTCCTGTCAGGGAGCTGACCCACATGGTGCACAGACCTCTCCTGTCCCACTCGCTGCTCCCCGTATATTTCAGTGGATCTGCCTGTTCTGCTCCCTACTCTGTCTCTGGTGAACCCTCTTACCACTGCCCCCCACACCTCTGGCCTACACCCCAGTTCTTCTATGCATGAATAAACAAATCTTTTTAAAAGTCATAGGGAATTTGGAGAGCACACCGAAGGCGAGAGCAGCTCTAAGAAAAAGGTTGAAAGACAGGACTGGGGTGAGAGAAGAGAAAGGGACTTAAGTCACCACATAAAACTCGGTTAGATTTCAATGAACAGTTTTCCGATTATGACCAAGGAGCAGCACTTGCATGGAGCCTGGGCTGGCAGGTAGGCCTAGGTCAGCCCCTCTCCACTCACACTTTGCTGTCGTGTTTCAGTTTGAGTTTGAGTGCCGGGCGCGTGGCGCAGACATCTTGGCCTACCCACCTGTGGTCGCTGGAGGTAATCGGTCGAACACCTTGCACTATGTGAAGAACAATCAGCTCATCAAGGTACACAAATGCCCTCCAGTGCAGTGCCCTCTGGGTCCAAGATGCCCCCGCAGAAGGCTGGGCACAGCTGCGTTTGTTTAGGAAGCTTGATCCGTGAAGTGCTTTCCCAGACGTGTCCTCTCTTGGCCCTGAGAGGCGAGAACCAGTGGAATCAGAGGGTTTTTTTTTTTTTTTTTTTTTTTTTTTTTTTTTATAGAGGCATGCTTTATTTATTTGTTTGCTGGTTTGTTTGTTTGTTTTTTGTTTATACATGCACTGGGTACAGTCAGAAGCGCGGGAGGGTGAGAGAATTCACCAGAGCCAGAGCGGGGAGCAGAGCAGGCAGAAGGACCGAAGTACACTGCTGAGGGGAGCAGCGGGCGGCAGGAGGGGTCTGCGCGCCATGTGGGACCCTCCTCTGGTGGCCGGGGAGCAGCCAGGGATCGAACCGGCGCCGCAGAGGCCGCGGGCAGCTTCGCAACCCAGCGCTCAACCGCTGCGCCACCGGGGAGGCCCCAGAGGGTTTTTTAGATCCATTTTTTTCTTTTCAAATCTTTGTAGTTTTTTGGATTGTCTCTTATTGTCCGTTCATCTTTGCACGTCCACTTTTTTATGTAAACATTTAAAGAGCCCTTTACAAACGTTTTATATGTGATAAATCCATTTTCTGAATCTTGTAAGGTCTAAATTTGGAGTTTGTCTTCCTGCTGATGCCCACAGTGACCTCCCGCTTTGTGTGCAGTTGGTAGTTCATATTTACTGGATGTTCCTTTTTGGAACTCATGCAGACCCAGATTTGGGGGAAATTTCCTGCAAATGTTATTTGCATGTTTTTAGCCAGTCGAGTCCTAGTGACCTAGGGCCATTTTCTCCCTTATGAACATTTTGAATTAAAGTAGGAATCTCTGGTTCATTTTTCCCGCTTTGCTACAGGACCTCAGGGCAGTGCATCCTGCCCGGTGTAGTGTAACATCTTATCACTACCCCCAGCTCTAGTTTCAGTTCTGGTCTGTTTTTATTCAGGAGAGAAACCATCTTTGAGATGTCTCTCACATTATGTAATAATGTCTATTTTTACACAGGATAAAGTATAAAGTCTGTTTTTATAGAGTATTTAGTTATTTACTAGCAGGAAATTTAGTCTATCATTTTGCCAGAAACCCAAACCACATCCATTCTTTAAGTTGCAGGTACTTGGAATGTATTCATGTGATCATTGTTATATTGTGTGCCAAGTTCTGTGCTTATGTAAATATGACTTCAAGAGCACAGATGATTTCAGTGTACTATGACAAGCAATAAAGATACAGCCACACGCAGCGGTTGAGAGCTGGGTTGCGAAGCTGCCCGCGGCCTCTGCGGCGCCGGTTCAATCCCCGGCTGCTCCCGGCCACCAGAGGAGGGTCCCACATGGCGCGCAGACCTCTCCTGCCGCCCGCTGCTCCCCTCAGCAGTGTACCTAGGTCCTTCTGCCTGCTCTGCTCCCCGCTCTGGCTCTGGTGAATTCTCTCACCCTCCCGCCTTCTGACTGTACCCAGTGCATGTATAAACAAACAAACAAAGAAATAAATAAACATGCCTCTATAAAAAAAAAAAAAGATACAGCCACAGTTTTTTTTTTCATTCCAAGGTTTTTTTTTTTTCTTTCCCCACATGTACGTTAATAGGAGCAAAAGGAGAAGTGAGACTTTACAGTGGCTAAAGAGAATTGTTTGAGTAAGGCCCTGAATACCAACTAATGAAAGATTCTTTTTAATTAATAATGGCAATAGTAGCATGTGTGCTCTACTAACACTTACACCTAAGCAGTCTGGTTCCGAGCCAGCACACTTGGCCACTATGCAGTTCCGCTCTTCTTGAGCCAGAGTGAGTGGATCTCAGAGATTTACATGCTGCTGCTTCTGAGAGGGAGGCAGAGACGATGCCTCTCCTTTAAGCCAGAACTTTTTCCTTTTCTTTTTTTTTTGTGGGACCCTCGCCAGTGGCCAGGGATTGAACTGGCCATGCAGAGGCTGCGGGCAGCCTCGCAACCCAGCGCTCAACCACTGCGCCACCAGTGGAGGCCCACTTTTTCCTTTTCTTAATGAAAGGCACCAGCTTAGATTAGAAGCAGCTTATAATCAGGCTACCTCATTTGGCCTCTGTTCCAGGATGGGGAAATGGTGCTGCTTGATGGAGGCTGTGAGTTTTCTTGCTATGTGAGTGACATCACCCGCACCTGGCCTGTCAACGGCAGGTAAGCCTTCCACAGGTAACATCTCCTGCTGCTACATAGGAATATCAATGGGAATATGGAGATATTTGACATAAGTGACTAAAGTTATCTCCAGGTCCCCTCTAGCTCAGGTTATTGCCTTTGCAAAATTTCTCATTATTTACTAAGACTTTTGTTAATCCTATCAGGATTCGGCACCTAGAAGCAACTACTTAGCACACCCACATGTTTCAATACACTTAAAGTTTTTATTTTCTGATGATATAACTGTTACATTATGGTAGAATAGTTTGGTCAGATTGAACCACCACCAGTAATAATTATAAAATCTGGACAAAATAATAAAAAAATAAGTATGTGAAGGCAAAAAGGGAGCTAGATGGTCTGTCTCAGAAAGGAAAACGCTAGCTGGTAAGAGGTAAATGGTTTGGGCTTTTTGCCTGGGGCACGCCCCAGTCACACAGCTTGGGCTGCAGTAGGAGCGGCTTTATTAGCTTATGGGGTCAGAGGACAGAGTTGGGTGCTAGTAGAACAACAAGAAAGACAGGGGGAGTCCTGGAAGAGAGGGAGCTGCAAAGGAGGTGAGCCCCAAAGTCTGCATATAAAATATTCTAAAATCTGTGTTGGGTGGAGACTCGAGGAGGCTCAGTGAAATACCAGCAGCGAGAAATCAAATGTACTGAGCAGCAGTTTCAGCTGCTTCCCACTGAGAGCAACGTGAAGTCAGGGTGTTTTTTTCTCTTTATCTGTTTTTTTCCCCTTCCCCTTATATGTCTGCTGTAGCGACTAGAAACTGTGACCAGGTTAGTAGCAGCAAGCATCACTGGTGCCCGTATGATGATCTTGAAATACAGTTTCTCACTAAAAAATGAGGGCTAATTTCAGGTCTGGGTCAGGAAACTTACAAGGTCAGCCTGGTAGGTCTTATACCAGATGACAAGGAAATTAATAGACATCGTGCTCACTGACGGAGGCTGGGCACAGAAGAGGACATGTTGCGTGAGTCCATGTATCTGTGGTGTCTAAAACAGGCAATAACCGAATAACCGAACAGCCACTGTTGGTTAGAAACAGACATGAGGAAGCTTCCTAGGGAGATGGCAGTGTTCTAGAGCATAAGTGATTCGGATCTGGATTAGGTGGACTTCTCCAGAGACAGACCAGTAGGGTGTATTATGTATGTAGATATGTGGGTATATTAAGTTATTGATTTTAAGGACTTGGGTGATGCTGTTGGGGGTTCTGACCTATCTGAATTTTGTAGAACATGCCAGCAGGTTGGAAACGCAAGTAAAAGTCAATGTTACTGTTTTGGGGTTTTAAAAAAATTTTCTTATTGTGTAATATTACATTTTTATATAGCTATATGTGTCAGATGTACATCATTATACATCAACATCTGTATTTACCACATTAAGTTTGCCACCGAAAGTCCAGTTCTGTCCTTCACCATGCAACTAACCCCCTTTACCCAACTGACCTACCTCCTTTCCCTGTGGTCTTAATAGTCTCAAGGTTTACTTTTGCTTTATTTAATTCATTATTTAAAAAAAAAGACTTATTTATCTATGCATACAAGAACTGGGTTGTATACAAGAACTGCACAGAGGTGCAGGGGGTGAGAGGATTCACCAGAGAGAGTGGGGAGCAGAACAGGCAGATCTACTGAAATACACTGCTGAGGGGAGCAGCAGGCAAGACAGGGGAGGTCTGCTGCGCCATGTGGGTAGCTCCCTGGCCAATTGGGGATCGAACTTATGCTGCAGTGGCTGGTGATAGCTTGATAGTGCTGTCTTTAACCCCTGTGCCACCAGGGAGGCCCTATTTAATTCATTCTGATGAACTAAATTGTTATAGTCTTGTTATAGGCAGAATTCCTTCTCCAGTATAACAAGGCAACTCTGGCATTTGAATTCATTTAGTGTAGGCTATTACTTTGGTCCATATTTTGGCCAACCAACCAAAAAAAGCTGATAGAACTTTCGGATCCCTCCAGCTGTAACACTGAGTCCAGAATCTCCCATCAACAACATATGAAAATAGAAATCCTCTACCACCCTGCTTAATTTTTCTCCTTTCCCCCATGGTATAAAGGAATTACTATTCTAAGGGTACCTAGAAATGAGTGATACTAGTAACCAAAATACCCACTTGACCATGACATATGCTTTGCCTGTTAGAAGTGGGCCCTAGGCTTGCCTAACTTTCGTTTTTTTAATGATTAAAAAACAATGAAAGGCTCAAGGGTGAGCCTGGCCTGGCCCTTGGTTGCATTCTTGGCTGGGTGGATCTTCTGGCCTCACGTCTACCTGACAGCCTTGAAGGAGAGACTTACTGCCCCATCACGAAGGGTCGATGTGCATTCTGCAGAGGCTCCAGGGGGTGTGACGGGGGCCAGGGCAGCGATGATATGCTGGTTCTGATCCAACAGCAGCAGTGCCCGTCGTCATCGCCTGTGAGTTTGCACGACTAAACGTAGAAGCAAACTGCCTGCGATATCAGATTATTCCAGATTGAAGTTCTTTGGTTTTCCCCCACCCAGGTTCACAGCACCTCAGGCAGAACTCTATGAAGCTGTTCTAGAAATCCAGAGAGATTGTCTGACCCTCTGCTCCCCTGGGACAAGCCTGGAGAACATCTACAGCATGATGCTGACCCTGATGGGGCAGAAGCTCAAGGAGCTGGGGATCCTGAAGAACAGTAAAGAAAATGCCTTCAAGGTACCGCGCCTCCTTGACCCCAGTTCTCCAGGACACCTAGCCATGCAGTCTCAGCCTATATAAAGCCGATTCCGTTGAGCAGGGGTCTTTGTGACTTTTCATCTGTAGGAGGGACTTAGAGCGACTGAATTAAAACAAAGAGCGTCAGTACTGACTTCCCCCAGAAGATGGCAGCACATTCTGGCTCATTGCTCGCGTAGCCTGCTCCGCGGGAAACCTAAAGGCAGCCTGATGCAGACAGGGTGGGGAGGGACACTAAAAGGAGAAGTTAACTCGAGATCCTTTTGTGGTAATTTTGAAAAGGTCGAGGTGGGAGAGAGGGGTGTCCGTTCTTTCAGTGACACTGTTGAGACTTTCAAGGTATTCACGAGGCCCCTTCTTTACATGATGGCCTTCAGTTAAACTGTCAGTCTCAGCTTTAAATCAGGGTGCCAGGTGGTCCAGCCAGACAGGCCATTAAGTTCACGCTGCCAGGGTTTCTTTTATCTCTAGGAACAAAGCTATAAATTCCTCCTCAGGGTAAGACATTTAATAACCAGAAATATCCGAGCCAGTAAGTGCCTAGTAATTGCTATAATCTGATGTTGCTGCTGTAAGATGTTTGGGGTCCCCAGAGTCGGCTTCCTGAGAGTGTGGACATTGAAAATAAAACTCTTCTAACATACTCGTCCTCCCTGCCCAAGAACAGAGATTTTCACTTGCTGAAGTCATTACTGGGGTTTCCCGTCAGCCAATGTAAGTGCATCGAACAGGAGGGTGAAAATGCACGTCAGTCAGGATGCCCTTGGCAGCACCACGCACAGGAGGGGGCGGTTTATCAGGCCTCTGCAGCATCACCACCCATGGGGAGATGGGCACTCGTCCCCTGCTTCACATGTGCCGACTCTCCTCTTAAGGGCTCTTGCTCTGCTAACACTGGTCATTTTCTGTTCCAGGCTGCTCGAAAGTACTGCCCGCATCACGTTGGCCATTACCTCGGAATGGATGTCCACGACACCCCAGACATGCCGCGTTCCCTCCCGCTGCAGGCCGGCATGGTCGTCACTGTGGAGCCAGGTAGGGGAGTGTTGGCAGGCTCTGCTGTCAGCACACCTAATAGGGTGTCGGGAGGAAAGGGAGACATCGACACCTGAACCAACGTAATTAAACTAGGACAGACAGGAAAACAAATCTCCTCAGTGTAGAAGGGAACTTTTATTTTAGAATTTTTCTTGAGCTTTCTTATTTAACTTCACACAATTTGTTTAATTTGACTTCTCCAATAAACAACAGATGGGGACTACTTTCTATAAGTGGATATTAAGAAATAAATCTCGTTTTAACCCCACCTTTACCAGGGCCCATTTATACTAGCCCTCCCTGAGTTCTGGGGGGGCCCACGCTTTCGAGGCCCCCGCCCACCCCCGCCCCCTGCAGAGGCATCCAGACTCTCTTCGGCAAGCTCTCCCACTGCGGGCTGGGCACGCCTGCTCTCGCCTCACACCGTGCAGTCCCGTTGAGGCGGTGCTGGGGCTTCCTTAGACTTTCACTACATTTTCACTGTCCTTGGCTGATCATTTCTTTTTATCACAGCAGAATCTGTGAGTGGAGTGGAGGAAGTTGACAATCATCTGACTTCGTGATTTGAAAGGGTCCCTTGGGCTCTTAGAATTTTCCAAATGCTCGTTAAAGTCCACCTTCTGACTTAACTTTACATATGTTCATCGGTTACATTTTTTTACTTATTTGAGAGGATTTTTTGGTGTATTTCTCCAGCTTCTGGTTCAGGCTAGTATGTTAAATGTATATTTTAAAATACCTTATGTCTATATTCTATTAAAGTTCCCCTTTTCCGGGGGGCTCTTGGGCAGGGAAAGAACGTGTTTATGCACTTGCTGCCTTCCGGCCTGCACCGACACACTTAGTGTTCCAGAGCCTGAGCAGCCTGCTGGAGCCATGGAACATGCCAAACCCTGGTCGGCGCTGCCGCCATGGCGTGGGGTTTGGTCTTATATGTACGTTAGCTGTAATAACAGTTTCGGGACGGAGAGCAATGTCTGTTGACTACTATGTCCCGACCGTCTGATATGCTTTCATTTCTGTAGCTCTTCAAGATTCCACATGTACACATGAAGTGCAGCAGAACGGTTAACACACGCCTCCACATCTCCAGTCACTGCCATTTGTGAACACCACATTCTTCTTTCTGCTTCTCAGGCATTTACATCCCAGAGGACGACAGAGAAGCCCCAGAGAGGTTTCGTGGCCTGGGCGTACGCATTGAGGACGATGTCGTGGTGACTGAGGACTCACCTCTCATCCTTTCTGCAGATTGCCCCAAAGAGATGAATGACATCGAACAGATATGCAGCCGGGCATCTTGACCCCCACTGCAGTGCGCGCACCCCGGGTTCTAGGGGGTGCCCGCTGTCACCTGTGCACATGTGTGTCCAAACGTGTGAGTGTGTGTGCGTTTCTGCACGGCTGCACTTGGGAGCGTGCAGCTCCAGGAGTGTGTGCACTTGTGTGTGTGGTCTTTTTTTTAAGTAGCTAGAAATTTGAAGAATTGAATTTTTGAACTTCGGGTTACAGCAACTTTAGCAGCATTCATTCTGTAGACTTAATGATCCAGGCAAGTTTACTTTTTAAATGTAAAGAAAGATCTTGGTTACAAATGTCCATGCATTCCACGTGACACATGTAAAGGGGCGGAAGATTTTCTCCTGTCCACGTCTTTCCCTTTCTGCTCTTTCACTTAGATCCACCTCCTACCCTGTCCGCAGGGTGCTTACACTTTGAGCCTACACTGACTCCCCCTGTTGGTGACGGGGGGCCCCGACACTGGTCTTCCCGAATGCCTGCCTTCAAGCGCCAGACCCTGCTTCCGCTGCAGCGCGTGCGCCCTTGGGCGCTGGGGCCCTGCCCCTCTACATCCAACCTGGCCCAGATTCCAGCAGTGTCAGACAGAACGGTTTTGAGCCTTTCTTGCTTTTTGGTTGACCGGAGCCTGGGAGGGATTTAGATTCTTGACAAGGAAGGAAATGGAAGAGGAAGAAACTTGTATATGTTCACTGCAGGCCCAGACCTCCATCCCTCCATCCTCAGCTACAGGCGTTCCTCTTGCAGACACCCTTGCTTGCCTTACGGCTTCGGCAGCACTGACCCTCCTAGATACCCTGCAGCTGCTCCCTGCCAGGGGCAGAGCCACTCTTACCAGTGGGAGTTAGAGGAATGGCCGCGGTATTCAGAGACACCTGTGGCCATTCCCTGATTTCCTCTAGTGCTGATCCGCAAACTGGAGCCCGCCAAGTGCTGGGACACGAGCTATGATTCTTTCCTTTCTCTGACTGTAGCACGGAAAGGCCAGTGGTGGAGAGTTGTGTTTCCCTCAGCACCGCTTTGGGCGCCCCTACGCAGCGACGGGGTGTGCGGTGTGAAGGGCTGTGGGACCGCTGCGGGCGGGACTTAGGAGCAGCAGGGAGGAGTGTAGGGCCTCCACCTTGAAGCCTGGAGAGCAGCCCTCGGTGTACAAACCCGCCGATTGTAGAGCATGAATTCATGCGGTTTAGGAAAGTGATTTCACCAGGGCAGGGGCCGGGGGGTTACCTGCCGAAGGCTTGCCCATCTTATCAGGAAAAACCAAGATACAGAACGTGAAGCAGACAGGCAGTGACTCCATCCCGAGCAAGGAGAGTGTCGTCAACTGCAGGGCCCGTGGCGCCCACACACACTGGCATTGCTGACCCCTAGGCAGCTGCGGGCACGCAGGGCTGGAGTCACTGTCGCTGCCCGCCTGCCCTCCCTTGCTCTCCTTTGCCCTGCGCTAAAAGAAGGGGACTGAAAGCAAACCCCCAACTCCGACTTCTCCCTCTCTGGGCCACTGTGGCCCCAAAACCCTTTTCCTTGGAGTGAGTGTAGTTTCCTTTGTTCCCTTACAGTCCTGAATAAGGAATTTCCTTTTCTTCCTATGAGTCATTTTTCCAGCTTTCTAGCCACAAGTCTCGGTGACCCTCAAAGCAGCGGCCCGCCATCCGCCAGCAACGGTCCTGGGCCGGCGCCAGCCAAGTGCGTGCTTGTTGCTTGTGGCGCTCAGAGCGGCTGCTGTGGGTTCTGCAGTCCTGACCCACGCATGGAATGTTGTCTGTCCTTGGAGCTCCACGTTCATCACAGCAGCAGCTAAGCACTTGAATTCACTATAAGAAGCATCACAGACAACTTCAACGGCTCAGAGCAATGTGTGAGGAGCAGTCTGGTGTAGAGGGTTTGTTGAGTGAATAACTGCACGCAGTGCTGGACTCTTGCTCTCTGGCAGGCACAGACAGGCCCCACTTTCCCCTCTGTGTCTAAGTCTCATAACTTCTTCATAGATGTCCAGGCTCTCTTGTGACAACCTTCACTTTAAAAAAGCCTCCAATGTTACACCGGAATTCTTCTCCCTCAATCAAATAGGTGTAGTCAAACCGTTGATGACAGCATCTGCGTGAAGGAAGCATACTTTCATGTGTTACTACATGAATTTTTTCCCCGTGATCAGAGGAATAGAAATCCTGGAGGAAAAACTCTCCTCCTCCTGGGACCCTGATCTCCAGGTGGGGAAGGCACGTCCCACAGTGACTGGAGGACTGACTGGGCTTTGTTCCCTTTTTTCCAAACATGCATGAGTGACACATTTCTTCAGCTTTCTCTGTAATAGAAAGATGCCAAATAGGAGGCCTGAGAGCCTGCCCCGTCCAGAGTCACGAGTGAAGCTCAGTCCGTTGTGACACAGTATTGTGACAACTGCCACAAACAATGCAGAGTTTAAATTTGAGTGAGACCCTTCTGCCTGCACCCCCTCCAAGCCGGTGTGTGGTAGAGGACAGTGTGACTCAGTGGCATGTGTGCTGTGTGTTAGAAACAGGCCCAGGATGGTGGGGCATAGAGGCCCCTGCTCAGAAGAGATTTTATGGTGTTGTTATTTTATTTTATTATTATTTTTTAGTATCCTAAGGTAGGCTCTGTAGCCCAGAGCGTAAACTGATAGCGCTGAGTCTCAAGTCTGCACAGGTACACTTCAAGTACAGTCCGTAGTGAGAAGGTGAAGGCAGCATTAAAGCCTAACGTGAGAGCAAAGTCCATTGTCGTTAAGCACGCAGCCCCCACAGCTCAGGCCTGCGCCTGCGTGTCACTGAGCGGCTTGGGGTGAGCGTCAGAGTCATTGGGAGCAGGGGTCCCCACTGATACCGAGGCCTCCTGGGTGTGCTTCTCAAAGATCTGAGAACTGCAGTCTTTGTTAGCATTTCTTAACGCTTTATATGACATTTGTGCAATTATTTATGTTCAAATTTGGACAAAATGCTGTTACTTTTTAAGAACCTACCCCCAAAAATCCATGTCATTCCCCAATGAGGGAAAAACATTTGTTACTGTCATTTTAAAAATAAACTACAAAACAATGTAAAGGTGTATGAGATGTGTATATTTTTTATAAGAATCATTTATTTTACTGAGTGATGATTTAAATTGAATATATTTGGGCACAGTAAATATTTGACATGAGGGCCTCCCCTGGTGGCGCAGGCGGTTGAGCGCAGTGCTGGGAAGCTGTCCGCAGACTCTGCAGCGCGGGTTTGATCCCAGCCAACCGGCGGGGGTCCCACTTATGTTTAAAAATGGTAAACACGGGCCTCCCTGGTGGCGCAAGGGGTTAAGATGCAACCTATGAAGCTATTAGCAGCCGCTGCAGCACAAATTCGATACCTGGCCAGGGAGGTGACCCATATGGTGCAGCAGACCTCTCCTGACTCGCCCGCTGCTCCCCTCAGCAGTGCATTTCAGTCAGTCTGCCTGTTCTGTTCCCCACTGTATCTGGTGAATCCTCTCACCCCCACACCCCACACCCCTGACCTGCACCCCAGTTCTTGTATGCATAAATCTTTTTTTTTTTAAAGCAGCCACAAATTTCATGTTACATGTAATTTACTACAATAACAATTTTGATTATCAAAAGAATGATATGGCACTTGGGCAAGGGGACAAGAAGGGTGAAAGGCAGACTGAAGTTGACAGTATTCAGGTGATTAAAATGAGTTCACAAAAATGCTACACCGGTATCACCAGACAACAGGATCCTGTAATCTCAGGATCCCTGCACTAGTCAGACTATGTCTGAGTTACCTGAGCATTTGGGGGTGCCTGTGTTTCAGAAGATATGCCCAGAAGAGAGTGACCAGAAAACAGTGTCATGAAAGCGGAGGCCATTGGGGAGGGGCGGGGAGGAGGAGAGTGATGGCGGGCCCCAGTATTGGAAAGGCTGTCATGTAGAACATTCTATTTCATGCTGCTCTTTTAGGCAGAACCAGGGCTGGTGGGCGGAAGCTGGCACTCTCGGAGAGTCAGAGTCTTCAAGGTAAAATGGTTGTCAGTGACTTAGTCCCACTCCTTCCAGATGAGTCTACACAGAGGGAGTGACTTGCCTTCCATCACAGCTTGTTGGTGCAGCCAGGTTGACAAAGAGGTTTCCCAGCATCGAGATCCGGGTGCGTGTCACACCAGCGTGCTGATTCCTCAGCCTGTTGCTCCAAATCACATGCGCTCTTTTCCGAGCGACCATTGCCTGCACCTTCTCAAACTCAGGTAAATGCGCTTCCCTCCATCTTCAATGGAAACGTCACTCACCGTGACCTCCATCACCTGGCCCCTCTGGTCCGCGCCCCTTCCTCCTGACTGGCACCTGTCCTCACGTCTGCGGTGAGCCCCTTGCTCTCCACTCCCAGGGGCTCTACTCAGTGACATCCCTCCTCTCTTCCCCCAAGACCAGCTCCTCAGTCAACCCCCAAAACCCACCGGCCGCTGCGCTCTTCCCTTTCACTGGACCTGCCCAGAGCCTGCGTTTGTCATCGCGCTCTTCTGTACTCGGCTCTCGGGCGAGTCACTACCGAGCCAGGAAGGAGGCCTCCGACCCGGTCCCCAGAGGGCCCCTTGGCACCATGCTTAGCCTCTGAGTTTCGGGATGCGTGTCCCAGTCCCAGTCCCAGCAGGAAAACAAGCTAAATATTCACAGCAGAATGAGGAACCGCAGGAGCGGGTTTCGCAGGAGCTGAGGGAGCAGGCGTCCCCTCGCGTGCTGGAGACTAGGAAAGCAGGAAGCGTCCACCAGACAGAAGGAAATGGAATCTCTCCAGGAGCAGAGGTTGAGTGCAGAAGCCCAGCCCCGGGGACCTGCCTGCTGATTCCCAGGTCTGCCACCTGAAGCAAAGAGGGAGGGAAATAGCCTGACCTTCCCTTTCCTCTGCGCCCCGTGTCTCCCATGGTCACACCGAAAGCAGCTGACGCTGACCGCTGGGTCTGCCCTGGCCCTGCCCAGGGACAGAGAGCAGAGCAGGGAAAGGGCAAGGATGTATCTAAAGCAAATGGATTTTGTGATCTTTCATGAGTGTGCAAATAATACGGTTATAAAGTTAAAAGCCCTCTCCCAACAACATCCAAGACTCCTTTTTTTTATTTAAACATGCAAAACCAGCATATAAACCTGAAGCTCTCTTACACAGAAGACAACCACGACCTCCGGGCCAGCATGCACCGACTACGTTCTTGGGTGGGCTGAGCATTCCAGGTGTGCCATTTCATTTAATCTTTGCAGCAACCATTTTTATCCCTAAGAGGACTCATCAACCCCCTACCCTGACCCCGGGTTGTTTTTACTCTCAGCATCTCCATTTATTCTTTTATTTTGCATTTAACTGGGGCTGCGCCCACCTGTGCCCTGGCTCACCTCTGTCCCGCCCGGACCTGTCACAGGGTGGGCACCAACGTAGAAATAAACGTTTGTTCACTAAATAACTCTCCGCATGGGCACCTTCAGATCTCTAGCAACTTCTACTAAAATAGTCAATGGGGGCCTCCCCGGTGGCGCAGCGGTTGAGCACTGGGTTGCGAAGCTGCCCGCGGTCTCTGCAGCGCCGGTTCGATCCCTGGCTGCTCCCGGCCACCGGAGGAGGGTCCCACATGGCGCACTGACCTCTCCTGCCGCCCGCTGCTCCCCTCAGCAGTGTACTTTGGTCCTTCTGCCTGCTCTGCTCTCCCCTCTGGCTCTGGTGAATTCTCTCACCCTCCCGCGCTTCTGACTGTACCCAGTGCATGTATAAATAAATAAATCTTTAAAAAAAAAAAATTAAAGGAGACTTAAAAGCGTATCCATAAAAAAATAAATAAATAAATAAATAAATAAATAAATAAAATAAAATAGTCAATGGCAGAAAAATCACCATAAAGAGAACTGTCGAGAATGGGCAGGAACGTGTAAACCCAGAAGAAGACAGCCAGGGCAAGTCCTTACCGAGCAACGGGAAGGAGCAGGTGCTACCCTGGGGTAACAAGTCATGCCATGCATGTCATTAATAGATGCTCGTTCATTTCTGCAGGCACCATTTCAGGATTCACAGGACATTTTCTGAAGATTTCCAATGAACTCAAATTTCAGTATAACTGTACCTCATCTGAAGTATTTATGAACAGCTGATCAGAGCCCCTTGTCAGACTTTTGGGTTTATGGTTGGAACCACTTATAGGACTTTTTTTGTCTCTAAAATTGTTGTAAAGGGGCCTCCCTGGTGGCGCGAGGGGTTAAGCACCGCACTATGAAGCAATCCAAAGCCTCTGAGCATGAGTTCAATCCCCAGCCGGCCGGGAAGCAACCCACATGGCACAGCAGACCTCTCCTGTCTCGCCGCTGCTCCCTTCAGCAGTGTATTTCAGTCAGTCTGTCTGTTCTGTTCCCCACTGTATCTGGTGAGTCCCCGCATCTCACCCCCAGCATCTCACCCCGGCATCTCTGGCCTGTACCCCAGCTCTTGTATGCATAAATAAAAAATATTTTTAAAAATTGTTGTAAATAGGGCCTCCCCAGTGGCGCAGCGGTTGAGCGCTGGGTTGCGAAGCTGCCTGCGGCCTCTGCAGCACCAGTTAAATCCCCGGCTGCTCCCCGGCCACCAGAGAAGGGTCCCACATGGCGCGCAGACCTCTCCTGCCGCCCGCTGCTCCCCTCAGCAGTGTCCTTCGGTCCTTCTGCCTGCTCTGCTCCCTGCTCTGGCTCTGGTGGATTCTCTCACCCTCCCGCGCTTCTGACTGTACCCAGTGCTTGTATAAATAATAAATAAATAAATCTTTTTTAAAAAATTGTTGTAAATATCTATATCTATATCTAAGCTTTTCTTATTGTAGGAAATGTAATCCAAGGAGACCTTGACCCTTTTATATACTAACCATCAACCAGGACCTGCTTTTTCACTGTATTTGAAAATTGAGCCAAGCAGGATCAGCCTGCTATAATGTTAACATCACCAGAATGAATCGTCCGCAAAGATAATTTCCATTTTTTTCAGTATTCAGTAGTGGAAGACATCCATGTTTTCATGGTAATTCAGTTCTGGTTGAATATCAATTGCAGGTGTTTTCTGATTGTGTGTGAATGCTGGAGACTTAGGAAGTTTTGACTGTTGTTTCAATATGTAAAGTTCAGGTTGAAAGAGCAAAGTCGGAAATTAAAGAAACTACTGAACTCTTTTCCAGGGTGGCTGGATCCCTTTTTATTTATTTTTTTTTTGCACGCCCACCTGCACTGTCTGAGCGATCGGTTTCTCTGCATTCCCACCAGCATGGGCCGGGATGGGGGCAGGTGGTGTCACCTGTTCTTTGCTTGTAGCCACTCTCATAGGTGGGCAGGGATTCGTCATTATGAATTTCATTTGCAGTTCCCTAATGGCTGTGGATGTGGAACATGTCTTCATGTGCTGCTTTTCCAGCTGTAGATCCCCTTGGATGAAATATCTTTGTGTCTGGTGCCCATTTTCTAGTTGGAATGTTTACTTTTTTACTGTTCAGTTGTAAGTGTTCTTTCTATATGCTAGATATTAGTGCTTCGTTGTGTATGTGGTTTTTGAATAGTTTCTCCCACTCTGTGGCTTGCCTGCTCCCCCTCTTTCATAGGCTCTTCACAAAAAATTAAATCAAAAACTAGACTTTCAGGGCCTCCCCAGTGGCGCAGCGGTTGAGCGCTGGGTTGCGAAGCTGCCCGCGGCCTCTGCAGCGCCGGTTCCATCCCCGGCTGCTCCCCGGCCACCGCAGGAGGGTCCCACATGGCGTGCAGACCTCTCCTGCCGCCCGCTGCTCCCCTCAGCAGTGTACTTCGGTCCTTCTGCCTGCTCTGCTCCCCACTCTGGCTCTGGTGAATTCTCTCGCCCTCCCGCGCTTCTGACTGTGCCCAGTGCATGTATAAACAAAGCAAACAAACAAATAAAGAAATAAATAAAACATGCCTCTATTAAAAAAAAAAACAAAAAAAAACTAGACTTTCACAGAGCAAAACTTTTTTGATCTACTATTTCTTCCATGGATGGTGTTTTGGTGTCACGTCTAAGAACTCTGACCTTAAATCCTGCAAGTTTCTCTTATGTTTTATT